TGGATCGCCCAACTCTATATAATATAGGTAGGTTCAGTGATTGAGTGACTAATCTTCAGTTGATGTAAAAAGTATTTCGGAGACAGTTATAAATTCTAAGTATAAAAAGATTTCCTAATTAGCCTGCAGAGCTTTTGAGAAAAAGAAGCACATCATAAATTATTTGTTTTTATTCATAATTTGTACGATTGAAAACGAGTGACACGTCAATCGTTGTGCAAGTGATGGTGTTCGGTTTAAAGTTCTCATTCGGTGTATCTTGTGGGCGAGAAATTTTGGGTTTGTCATTATGTGTCATGCTTGCATGCGTTGCATGTTCTTTACTTTATAAGAATATTTAATCAATTCTTTTAAAAAGAACAAAATTGGAATGTTTAAATTTTTATAAAATGAATTCAAAATTAAATTGTCAAAGGTGTTCATATAAAAAGTTTCATCGCGAATTTTTTGCAGTATTGGCAAATTTTATCGTTACTTTAATTTTGATAAACGTTTTTTTGTTTCTTGCTTCATAAGTGGCTTCTTTAATGAAGCTTTTTATTTCTTTATTTATTCTTTTCTTAGATGTTTGAACCAAAAAAGCTTAGAATGTCATTTTTTTATGATATTTGAAAACAATCGAATTTAATCATTATTTAAAAAAGTGAACTTCAATGAGAAAAACTCTTTAAACTATTATTTGTATTTATATTTCGTTGTTCATCAGTTTTTCAGTGAATATCAATGAAAAAAACTCTTAAAACTAATATCTATTTATAAATAACTCGTTGTTCATCATTTTTATTGCAGATTTTTATACTCGTTTATATTTCAAACGTAATGTGTGCTTTTTATTTCCATTTTGACTTAAATAATGGAAGACGAAAGAAGAAAAAAGCAATAAGGTGATTTCTGATAAATAAGCACACAATTCAACCAGCTTGTTTTTACTTTATAAGGGCGCATGTGAAAGTTAGCTAGGGCAATAAAAAAATGTTCATGTCAGGGATGTTAACAATTCTCAAAAGTTTGACTTTGCATCATTTAAGTTTATTTACATGAAAATAGTTTTAAATTGTGCCAAAGTTTGATTATTCACTGATCAATTTGCAAAATTCTGAGTAAGTTTCTAACTCTGATTATTGCTTTATCGACGCACGAGAAAAAAGCCACTTTAGCATTTTTTTTTCTTCAGTCAAAACGAAAATAATGGCTTTGATTTACAAATTTTTCTCTTATCCTGTATATACACCGGCATGATATAAAACGCATTTGTAGGCTACAATTTTCTAAATCTAAATATCGTACATTTGTATGCTAACACACTTGGGTTGGGGTGAAAGCGGTTAAGATTTGAAAGGTAGTGAAATGTCGACATGAATTTTCACGGTAAAGTTGTTTCTGAACGTATGTTTCAGTGGTTTTTTCACTATTCCCTCGTCACCGGCAAACAATTAATGGCAACATCTCAAATAGTAAATTCCATCGTTAAAATTAAAATCAGTGAGATCGAAGTTAATAAAATTTTCAGAATAAATGAAAGTGAAATTCTTACAGCTTACAGCGATAGTGGGAAACATTGAATAATGAATGAATTACTTTAAATGGTTTAAAACGCATAAAACATTGTTGAGCGCTTCGATTTCATACATTTTATTGATCTTCATTTCATCACGTTTTCTGGTGGGGGTTGGAGGCAACAAGAATTGTTGTTTATAGAGCAAATGAAATAAAAGTTTACTTTCTTCTTTTTTGCACAAAAGCTTTTTATAGAAGAAAACAAGGAAAGTAGGTACAAAGAGAATTGTTAAATTTGCTTTTTATGAGATTAGCCGCAATATTTTGCTAGCTTTGAAAATCATCGCTTCGCTCTATGTGAAAATCAATTCATTTTTAATGGATTTTCACTTTATTATATGTGCATAGGATAGAAAATGTGATAGATAAAACCTTTAACCATCAGTAGACAACAATCAATTGGTCTTGGTGAACAGACAGTCAAAAAAGCCAATAGAGTCATAATAGTTAAAGGTGGAATAAAATCATTTTGTTTATCGTTTGTTATGATGATGTGTCGGGATGGTTAATATCATTTTCATTTACTGAACGCAAGCTATAATAATTATGATGGATAATAATAAAACAGCCCGTTAATCACAGAACGAAATCGGTGTTTATTTATAACCGATGCCAACCGTGCGTGTATGTAACGTTAAATAGATTTAAAGATAATCGATATTGGTGATATGTGTTGTTTGAAAGAAATTAATTAACCGAAAATCGGATAAATGAACTTTTTTTCCTATTAGCTAATGACTTCGACTTGACACAAGAAATCAAAGATAGTTGTCATGCGTAGTTGTATAAAATATGCAGAAAATAATATTAAAGAAAATCAGAACAGAAATTTGATGATATTTGCTGATTATCTTCATGCAAATGCTCAATAAAAGCGACATGTTTATTGCATTATTTACATAGATTATCATGCAATGCAATGTGAATTGATGCTAACAATCGCCAGTAATCATCTTGAAGTTTAATCAAATGTCATGTTCGTGTATGTGATTTGAAGTGTTAAATATTCTTCGACAATTTATGAAGTTTTTCAATTTCCGAAATGGAACAAATAATGTTGAAAGATTAAAAGTGAGAAAACATGAACAATGAAATATCTCACAATTCTGCTTTCATTCCTTTCGAAAAATAAAGAAAATAAAAAAAGTAAAAGCATCGTCTTTGTCACCAAAAATTCTCATTTTTTTATTCATATGATTTAAATTATTTTCAAGCGACAAGTAAGAAGAAAAGGAAAAAAAATTCATTGAATGAACAACGTTTCCTCGTCTGATGTTTATCTGTAGAAATATTCATTTTCATACGACATGTTCATGAGGGAAAATCTCCAATTATGCAGAAAGCAAGATGAGCTGGCATTATCAAGCGAAGCGCACTCATTTCTATAAGCTTTCATCACATTCATACCTTCACTTTACAAAAATTATTATAAAAAGAAGAAAGAAGCTGCTTAACTGTGCCTTTTCAGCACAAAAATCATGTTTGAAAATAAAAAGAAAAAAAGATTTCCATTTGAAATATCGCTACAATTTTTTTCCCCTTTACATCTCTTTAATTCCGAATCATAATCTTTTGTCGTGATAGATAAACAATAAAGCTTTCATCTCTTTCTGAGGAAATGAAAAAATATCACAAGCACATTCTGATGAATTCCTCTTTATCATTTCATCGCGAACTTTTTACATCCTAACAGTCGCATTAATACAAAATTTTGTTGTCATGTGAAGCTTCTTATAGTCAAATGAAACCTCTCAACACTTCAGAAATGTTCAGAGACTCGTGAAAATATTTTGAGTAGAATTGTTTGATTCGCTTTCACTCATATTCAAATCTCTTCATTTTGTTTTATTTATTTTCCCGTCTCTTCATGTGCTAGGCAGCATTAATCTGTTAAAAAATTTGTTCCTTGTAGTCTACAATTCTGTTGTAATAGACATTAGTGATTAGTTAGTAAATGAAACGAGTATAAAATGATGTAAATTGTTATCCCTCTGCATTGCAATGCAATGGATTATGCTCGCATTTATGGGAAAAAATCGCATCGTCTCACAGACTTAACTTACTCCTGAAGAAAAAAAAAAGAAATAAATTCCATTCACATTTCTTGATGTATTCACATGCAGATGGGCGCAAAGTACTTCGTCGTGTTACGTTTTGTTCCTCACAATATTGCAGACAACTTCCATGTCGTTGCATAAAAGATGTAAGTAAAATTTCGTATTTGTTGGAAGAAAGTCGTGTCATGATTTATACACCAATGAAGAAAAAAAAAGAAAGAAAGAAGGATGAGATAGAAAAGTTGAACACAAATTCAGCATTGTAGCGACAGAAAAATTTGCTTTGTATCCAATTGAAATATGATACTCTATTTAAGGCAAAAGGCGACAAACTTTATACATCTATGTGGAGAATGAGGACGCTCCAAATTCACTATTTAGTCAGTTTCGTATAGACTTCGGAGGAAGTTTTAAGTTGTTACTCGCAAAAAAAAAAGCATTGAAAATGTTACCCAAAACAGAAAAACTTTCTCACTCCCTCATTCATTCTTTCCTTTTCTCTCTCTCTTTCTATGCTAGTCGTTGAAAATCATAAATTATGATTCACAAGACTCACTCCTATTATGCATGTTAAGATGGTAAAGACGAAGAATGAATGATGCGTAGAGGAAGTTTCATAGTTGAAAAAGCTTAATAATTTCCAAAAAGATGAGAAAGAAAAATCGTTTAAACTTTAAACTATTAAGATGCTTTCATTTTTAATGTCTTCTTCAGGGAGAACGTTAGATCAATAACGTCGAAGCAGTTAATTAAAGTTTTTCGCTCTTCCCATTCCCATTAGCGACTCTATTATCAGTTGAAGTTAATGCTTTCCAACTCGTTTGCCGCAAAGCCTCTTCTATCAGAAAATATGACGCGCGTATGACAGACTCTTAAAATAATTTCCTGACTTAATGATGTTAATCTGAAGATGCTCTCAATCTTTCTCTATCCTTTTCCCTTCCTCAGCTTTCATTCTTTCTTACATAAAAACCACCTTTTAATATCTTTTGCCTTCCATCAATTTGTCGGTTTTTTTTTCTTTTCATTTTCGCTATGTCTAAAAATTCTTCCACCCCAAGTTTTCTGATGATGACTATCAGATTAATTTTCATTAACAGTTATAACACTTTCCAAGGATGTGTCTGCCAATTACGTATTATGTTGTGGAGAGTATTCTCGAATGTCATAACTTTTAATTGAATGAGAAAATAATATTTGGATGTCGCCCCTCCGCAAGAAAAATCTAAGAACAAAGACAGAAAAAAAGTCAACGAAGAAAGTTTTTCTTTCATCCTTCGCTTTTCTTGCTGTTCTGTTTCTGTTTCTGTTTTTTTTTCTTAACTCCAAAGTATTGTGAAAAGCATTTTCATTAACTTTGTTATTTTATTTTTGACATATTTCTTGATATGAAATTTATGCGTCGTCATTGATGGAATATTTTTGCGATAAGTTTCTCATTTCGTGTGCGTCAGTTGCCTTGCAGCTTCTTTATCTTTGTCATTTTCCCCATCGATGAGACGAAAACTTTTTCACGCGCGTGAGAATGTAAATAGAAAGATTATTTTCCTCTTAATCTGTCTTCTGATTTAATGTATGAAAAAAAGCGAAGAGAAGTCAGGAAGAATCCATTGGTGATGTAGGATGAAGTAACAACATGACTTGTGTCTTGTTCTCAATTTTCCTTCAATAATAATGAGACATCAGAAAGTGAAGATTTCTTTATCGTAGAAAATAGGAAAAACCTTCGGAACATTTTTTTTTTCTTCATCATTTTCTTCTTATCTTTCCAAATAGTAATAAAAAAGTTTTCTTTCTCATTGAGTGAGATGGAAGATCAAAAACCAACCTCTAATTACTCACTTTAGTCGAGTAAATGGTGAGAGTGGGAAATTAATGAAATCCGTTGTTAAATGAATGTCTTCCTGGAAATGGATGAAAATTTAATGAGAGTCGAAATCTTTAAGAAATGGTTATTATGTTTGATGGCGTTTAATCATCGCTCTTCGTTTTGGAAATAGAAAGAAGTGAAAAGCGTTTTCTTAATGACGCTCTTTCTTTCATCACCACCGCAGCACAATGAACGAACGGCACTCACTAAGATGGAAAACCCACAAGCGGATAAAAAGAAGTGTCCAATGAATATCGCTATTATGAAATGAATATTAAATGAAGACACTTAAAAGACATACAATTTCTTTTTTGCTTCGTTTTTTTTCCTTTGCTTCAATCTGCTGATACAGCTCGTTCTCAGCAAAGTTCTTCTATCTACTTTTTTGGTCGCTTGCTTCTCGTCGCCTTAACGTTTTTATAATTCAACATTTTCACATCCACCCGAATCGAGCGCAGAGGAAAAATTGCCGCCCCTCGAAATTATCATCGAATGCTCGCATTACCGGAAAGCCATGATAGTAAAAAAAAGTTCTCGGTTATATGATAATGGTGCCTTCAATAAATTTCTCTCGTCCCCTACTTTGCATGTATTAAATGTTTGATTAGATTTTGCCATGGTATTTTGCACAAAGTACATTCGAGAAAAGAAGCTCTTAACTATGAAGATATTTTCATAGCTCAAAGTGATTCTCGTTATTCGAACGACGTCGATGAAACTTCTTTTCTGTTCTCTGCTTTCCCCCCTTCTCCCCCTTTTTCATCTCGACGTGTTTGCGTGAAAACTAATTTGAATTTTCTTTCAACTTTGTTTTCACTTCCATTCATTAATAATTTTTTTGTAATGTCAGATTTGTGAAATCTTTGTTTTAATTTCCTTCCTTTCGCATTCTCAGTTTTTCGCCCTTTTGTGTATCAATTAAGGCAGCAAGCAAAAGAAAAAGGGGAAAAACAATCTGTATAGGTATTTTTGTTCATTCAAAGCGTCAAAAGATATTGCGAGAACAATAAGTTGAGTTTTTAATTAAAGTTCTTGAATGAAAAGAACCGTCGCTCACCTTCAACCCAACTAAGTGCCTGCAATATCAAATCATTAAAGAAATTCTTGGAATTCCGTGCCGACCCTGATTTTGGTTAAAATAAATTGCACAATTCATTGAAAATAATTAGGCAAAAATGCGAGAACAGGCTAAATACTTTTCCTTTAATTAATGAAAAATGATTGTTATTGTGATTAATTGTTAAAGAAATATTTTTCAAGCGTTCGTGGAGATACCAAATTTCTTTTAAACTTTAAACTTTTCGCTGCTTTTGTTTGTTCGTCCAAGCGTGGAAAATTAGACGAAAAAAAGTTTAGAAAAGAGAACCAGGAAAACGAAACCACTGATTTTTATCTCTTCCTCTATTCCTTTTGTCTTTATTTCGATCTTTAAATAAAAAGAACAAAAAAAAACTCTTTGCTTGCTTGAGGAAGAATGAATGGATGGAGTTTTGTATAACCAGCCATTACCACTAGAAAGATAAATTAGAAGAAAATTCTTAATCCGTTGGAATCAGAGGAATGAAAATTAATTAATCTGAATTGGTTGGTGAGCTTCTTTGTTTGTTGGCTGGCTGGTGGGGAAGAGATGAGAGTCGGAGAGAGTTAGGAAAGAACGTCCAATCTTTCGTTGATATATGATGAAAAATTTATAGACTTTCCTCTTTCGCTAAGACTAGGAGATGAAGAAACCAATTTTTATCCATGATCCTTTGCCCATTCATCCGAACTCAAATTTTTGGGTTGAAACAAGTAAACTTTTGCTTTTCGAGAATACTCTTAATTCCCAGTATCTTTAGAGGAAGATATTGTATTAATTATAAAAGAGATTTCTGGCACCGAATATAATTTCTCACAAGAGATAATTTTATAGCCATTTTAATGTTGAAAAGAATGCGCCACCCGATGATAACGAAGCTCAAATCCCTATAAGAAAAGTTTAATTTTGATTCTAAGGCTTTCAAAGCTTTCACTTAAGCGCAATGAAACATTTTGTGGAACTTTTTCATTCTCATTTAAATGTAGATATTTAAATTTTAAATATGTTGCCAGAAAGAAAAAATATGTGAAATGTCTTGAATCATTGCAGAACTTTATTGGTGACTCAATTGAACATTTGCAAAAGTAGATTACAAAAATGTTCATTAATATCAACTTGCATTACATCACCTGGTAAAAGAACTCATCTTTAAGCAAGTCCCGAGAAAGAATCTTTAAGAAACTTTAAAACCATATGTGACTACAAAAATTAACTTGCAGGAAAGTTCATTAAAATATTTTTGTTGCAGAATAAATAATCCTGCTTGAAGGTACTTATAAAATTCTAAAAGCCAATCTCAATGGCGATACACATTTAATCTTATAATTCTTTATGCAAAAATATGTATTTGAAATATTAATTTAATTACTTTTCCAGAGATTTATTTAATTAAAGCTTAAATAGTTAAGGGATTTTATGGGAAAAAGGGCAAACGCCTCAAGACCAAGCATCATGTTGAAAAACGAGGGATTTTGAAGAGATCTTGGACTGCTTTCAGAATCTTTTTTTTCTTCTTTCTTATTTCGAAAATGGAATGGAGTGAACACAAGGCGAAGCTATAAAATAGCCAAAAATCTCATAACACAGTAAAAAGCAAAGAATGAGATTTAACGTTGAAAATAACAAAACACAAAACTTTTCTTTCTCACTGAACTTTATCTCCGAACCTTAAATTTATTTTTTCCCGTTGATGATGCTGATGAAAAGGGACGAAAATAAAGAAAGAAGAAAAAATAAAACAAAATAAAAAAAGCGAGAGAGAGAAAAAACAAAAAACAAAAAACCATTTTCCGCTTTTCCGCCTGCTTCTTAACGATATGTGATTAAATGTGGAAATTAATAAGACTGCTCGAAAAAGTTTAATTACTTAAAAATCATTTGGTGTAGGAGAGACATTAAAAGTATGTACCTAAATATATATGAAGAATGTATGAGAAGAGACCTGAAAAGTATAAAATTAGTAGTTTTCTAGCTGGATGAGCACACCTAGGATATAACATTAAATGGGCCCATTTCTCGGGAAAGAAAAGTTTGTCGTCGTCGTCGCTTTTTTTTACGGATGTACCGTCTGTTTATCCACATCGTAAAAGTATCAAATTAAGATGAAGGGGAAAGAAACAGAAAAGCAGCACATTAATGTGTGATCACACACATGAGGAATTTGAAGAGCTTTAACTAAGGCAACAGCCTTTTGCCCTCCCCAACTTACAAGAAGAGGTTTTATGAAATCTTTTCTTTACTTAATGCTCCTTTGAATTTTAATTAATAAATTTTGAAGTTTGTTTTCTTATTTTTTTAATTATGATGAGATGGAAAATGAGGAAGAATCAGCAAAAGCAGCACATTCTCGAATATGAATTGAATGAGTTGATGAACAATGAGCCACGCGCTAGGAGGAAAAAAGAAATATGAATCCCCTCCATTAAAAAGGACATCAAGTAAAGTCTTTCATTTTTCTCGCCTGCCGATGAAGGATTCTATCGTTCTTTTCTCTTTATTTTCTTCATTAAATTTTGCTGGTTTCGCCTTGGGGTTGTGAATAATGTAAGGCGAACCCCACAAATAGCAACACAACAAATTCTGGGCCAGTTGACGGTCGCACCAAAGGGCACTAGTAGGTGGGGCTGTGAAACTTTCTCATTAAAATCCTTCGTTATTGCGGACTTTTCGTATTAAGTCATCATAATTTCATGATTTTTCTTTATTTATTTTTTTTTTTTGTTGTCGACGATTCTGCTGCTTCATTTCTACGGAAAAAAAAGAATGGAAAAAAAGAGAGAAAAACAAAAACAAAAGCCGAGGAAATTAAAAATTTCTTAACCCATAAAAAATCAACTGACAAAAACCGCAATGGATCTATTCTGAGATTACGTTTAATGTCGCATAAAAAGATTATTTAATTGATGAGACCTTCATCACTGGTTGAAAATCCCGGCAGTCAAACAACAAATCAGTGCTTTTACTTCAATAAGCAATTCAACATTTAAATAAATGAAAATCAGCAGCAAAAGACACACAAAACAGTGAGGGAATTTTTTTAACCAAATGATTTTCTTTCTGTCTTCTCATCGTTCATCTCTTTTCTCGTAGTCTACACCCGCACAAACGGACAAAGAAATAATAGATGTGAATGGGCGAAAAGAAGATCATTTTCATTTCTGTAAATTATTCTTTCCACTCAGCAATTTTTCTCTCGTTGCTTTCCATAAATGCTCCATAATCGCTTGGCAGTGGTGGTGGTCTGATGGTAGTTGTTACCATAATTCACCACATTATTCCCCGTGAATTGACTTTAATTATGAAATGAATGTGAAAGTGACAGGATAATGGTCTTTTTACAAACGATGCAGGTTTTGCTTTGATATGATCCCATTGACTAAGTAATCAAAAGTAAAAGAAAAAAGAAAACAACCCTTCAAATTGAATTCTAAACTGTTTTCTGCTAAATGACGATCATTAACTTTGAAACCGAGAAATGTTTTCAAGTCCACATTCAAAATGTTACATTCGACCATAATTCATTAGAAATTTCTCTCGTTTTTTCACTCATAAAGGACTCGTTACTTTTGCCTCAAAGATTTTCAGATTTTCCCAACCTTTTCCAACATAAATTCTAATATTTTATGATTCCTTCATATCAAACATTCAGCAGCACTGAAAAATGGCAAAAAAGTTTTATTTTCTAATTAAAATGATTGTAAGAACTCAAAACCATTTTCGGTAATGCATCATCATTGACCCTTGAAGGAATAAAAAAAATGGTATTAAAAATATATAACTTTCATTAAATCATCAAAAAAATGGAAAATTCTTTTGCTAGAAAATGGAAAAACTTTTAAAGGGCCTTTTAAATGTGTAATAAAAAAAATCAGTTGATTTTATGGGTTTCACTCTTCGGGTATTCACAATGCTTACACATTATGGAATGAATGAGATTAAAATCAAGTATCATACTAAATATAAAACAAAACTTCTCATTAAAATGAAAAGGGAGAGAAAGACAAAAAAAGAAGAAAATCTGATTGACGAATCTCAAAATTCAATTAACGAGATTAAAACACTGATAGTTTGTTTAAATACTTTTATGTTTTTTTAGATTATTTTTCATACTTTATGCTATGAAAACATACAACATGGTTATAAACTCGAATGTTCATCAGAGCGAGAGTCGTTAAAAACTTTCCTGCATTTAAACAAAAAAAAAGGAATCCCATTTGTTATTTTACATCAGATGAATGATTTACATTGTGAAGTGAACATAAAGCAGATTGTAACATTTCATATCCTCCAGCATCTATTATAGGCTTTCACGTTCACATTTTCTTTACTGTTAAATATAAAATGTCATAACTCAGAAGGCTCCATATGGCAGTTATTCATATTCAGTTGTCAAAGAAGTCTGTCAAAGTCATAAATATGTTGAATAGAATTAATTATGAGGTAAAAGTTCTACGTGCACAGTCATTTGAAAATATTTAAGCACCCAATAAATTCTTAGTGAATAGAAATTAATTCAAACAAACTCTTTCCGTGTTTTCACTCCGTACATGTTTTCGTAATTGAAGACTTTAGAAAAAAAAGTTTATCACGGAAAATAAATTACAATGGGCAGAAAGAGATAAAGCCACTGGCACATCCCTTACAAGTTCCTAACAACTTCACATTATCCACGTTGACTCGGTCACATTCAACTTTTTTTTTTTAGTTTGACTCGCCTCCATCCAATTCTCCTGTTCGAATCGAAACTTTCTCCTGTTCGCCTTGTAACTTCATCCATTTGCAGGTTTCAGTTTTGCTGACCATGTGTGTCGTGTCTCCCATTCATTCGAAGTTTTCAGAGGAAATGCTCTACAACAAAGTTTTGATGATGCTAAAAACAACTCTTTCCGTCGCTCTCATCATTCAGCAAATAATTTCTGCAACCTCAAACTATTCATATACATAAAATGTTAGTTTGCATCACTCTTGTTTCTCTCGAATCTCCGACCCCAACTGAATCCCCCCTTGCAAGCGGCCCTTTCCGGTGATAATTATTCTCATAGAATGCATAACTTCCTCTTATTTCTCATTTTGTAAACTTCACTTCTACCATCACGAGTAAATTTGCTTTGATGATGATTTCACTCCCGTGACAAAGTGCTGGGGTTGATTTTAAAATGCATTTGTTAATTATGAGAGAGAGATTTGTGCTGTGAATGTTCTTAATTTTGAGTGGTTTATGCGGAATATATTTAAGCGAATTACTACACACATTAGAAAACATGGCCACCTCAAAATATTTGTCAACAATTTACATTAAACATTTAAACAACACAGAACTGTAGTCTCGTGAAAATAAAATTGTTTTTTATGAGTCGCCTAAGTGTTATGAGATGTACAAAAGCATTTCAAAAATAAAAACAGTTTTAGGGTTGAAAACATCAAACGGATTGAAAAACATGAGATGCAATGTTTGAGATTAAATAAGTGACAAGACCCATGTCGACAGTTCCCTTTTTTAATATTCAACGAAATAAAAGTTTAATCAATTTTTCATCATTCCGACTTCAACGCGAAATTAAAACTTTTCCTTCTTTTCATTCTCATTTTCGTTCATTTGAAATGCAATTTACTTAACTGAAAGCAATTCTTGTGAATAAAATGAGCCTCGTGAAGACAATATTGAAGATTCAAAAGAAATTTCGTTGTCTTCTTCATGTAATTTGTACTTCAGTTATGGTTTGATTATGTCGAAAAGTTGCAGTATTTTTGGCGTGAAATGATTTTTTTCTTGCTTCTTAAAAAACTTAAAAGTTCATGCAAGGAAAAGAGACAACGGTCGGCGGCCTTAGACAAAGAGATTCAATTTAAGTACTACTGCATTCATTGCTGGCAAGTAGCAAAAGTTGAGGAAACATTACACTTCACTGCTCCACTCCTCAACCTCCCGACCCTCATTTCAATAAGTTGTAAATTCATAGGATTTGATGACGTTTTAAATTGAAAAATAAAAGAACTTGAATATCTATGAGAAGAAAAAGTGCAAAAGTTCTTCGATGCAAAGCACATAAACTTTTACAGAGATCGAAATTTCTTACTTTTATTTCAATTCTATTACACTTTAAGACGTCTCTTGAAAACATTTCATTCAAAAAAGAAGAAACTTAAATAAATAAAACTCTTGTCACTAGAAGTGGTTTCTACTGGAAAATATTGAGAAAACATTTTCAAGTAAGCTGACCAGAACATGAAAGTTTTTGTAACTTCTTTGGTTATTTAGATGAAGAGATAAAATTCTGACTTTTAGATTTGAATTCTAAAACCACACCCAGACCGATATATGTTCATGTAATATTTGATTTTACACATCTCGTCTGATTTTTTGAACATGACAACACAATTTCACATCAATCGAATGTTGATGGGGATGAAAACTTTAATTCCCCAAGTAAACGCAAAAGCTTGAGAATAAAAAAAAAGAATTCTCAAGTGCCAACTTTCTTCACTCACATTCCCTGTGTCTCGTTATCTCTTCGTCTTGTTATTTGAAGATGAACAACTTTCAGTTTGTTCTTAAGAGTCAGAGAAAGATCGACATGAACAAGAAAATGAAATTAATCAACAACATCCCACCCGAAAGAATGAAATTGAAAGCTTTACATCATTCAATTTTAGTTAAAGCTGAATTTTTCATGAAGCTGAAAGAGAATCATGTTTTTTCTCACAACTTTTGCCACCGAGCTCTAGTTTGGACTCTCGTAATTTATGTTTTGTCATTTGCAAAGGAAAAAGAAAAGATGGGATGGAATGAAAGTAACGAATGAACGCACATCTGAAGGCAAATCTCCAAAATGACAATGGAGGGGGTGAAGAGAAGAAATCTTTAGTGCCATAAATACAGAACACGAATAATCTTACACACTCGTACAACGAATCTAACTAATAGCAACACGAAACATCAGAACTGTGTGGCTTTCTAAATTGGTGACGATATCTTGTTACATTATCCAACATCATCGTATGAAAATTTTTCTCATTACAATTTTCATTCTTTTCTATTTAATTTCAAGCTTTTGACAACAAAAAAAAGAAAGTAATTGAAACCACTGTTGCTAGTTTTTTTGTTATCAACTCACAACTTAGACTTTCATTGTAATTTTCTTTTAACTTAGGTCGACACTGCGAACAAATTAACTTTCCTTCTCGTGTTTTGAAATTTCCTGTTTGACTTCTATTTTTAAAGTATATTTCAACGTTTAATCTTTTCACTCACTAAACTTTATTTTCGTCCTTTCTTTAATTTAATTTTTGATTTCTTTCCTTTTTTCCCTTAAATAAATGTTCACTTGAGAAGGTTTTTTTATCTTTTCCTTCGGGTTTTGGTGACCAAAAGTTTAATTAAATTCATCAAACTGTGTTTGATGAAATATCCTGGCAATTATAGGATATTGACACTCAATTGAAAACCGCGAAAATTATTTTTCTTCTTACATAATTAAATTTAAAGACCTTGAAGGGGATAAAAAAATAGAAGAAAATTAAAAGAACCTTTTACTTTCTTTATCTCTACTTTCACTTACTTCTTTATGGAATCGTGGACATTTCAAATGTTATCTTAATAGATTTTACCTGTCCAAAGCATTTGTCCCTTCGACCCACACTTCATAGCCATGCCTGACGCATTCACTTTATTTTCTTTTGCAACAGAATTTTCCCCATGTAAGTTAGGGATAAATAAACCATGAGGAACGGATATTAAGTCAAATAAAGTAAGGGTAGATCTGAAGATTTTGAAGGAGCTTTCTATAAATTCCGTCACTATTATCATTAAAGCTTTCGCACCCACAAACTCACTTCTATCCTTGTTCAAGATCTTAATCACATACAGCAGGTTACATCTTCAAATGGCCATAAAAATTTCTTCTTAATTTGAACTCGTGGCGGTTTTTTCATCTCGACTTGAAGATTTAATACATAACGAATGAAGAAAAAAAAGAGAAAATAATTCGGGATCATTTCAAGGATTTATGAAAAATCTACAAAATAATCTTTCAGTAAAGAGCGTTCGGAAAACGGAAGACGATAGTACTCGGCAGCTTAGCAGCAGAAGCAAAAAAGTGGTTATCAAATGAAATTCATTCCTTTTTATAGCAACCGGAGAAATGCTTTTGGTTGTGCGGAACAAGCATACGAACGAAATCATCAGTTGAGACGGAAGAAAAAGGGGAAAAATATGGCAATGGCAATACGTAATTGGGAATTAATCTTGCAGTAAAGGAAAGCAAAAAAAAAGGAGTCGTGGAAGAGGAAACGAAGCAGTTCCTACTTCAAAATCACAGATAACATTTTCATTCCTCACACTTGAAGAGCGTTTTACGAGAACGATACGAGAACGAGAACAAGAACTAAACGACCCTCAAATTCCCATTAATAATGCGTCAAATGTTAGCAATGCTTAAGCAGCTGTCACTTAACTGGGATTAATTCTTTTGACAATAGCCATATCGTCAGTGCCGTCAGTAAGAGTGGAAGCTATGAGAGATACTTTGCAATGTCTAGCAAGCGGAAAAATAAAGCCACTTATTTCGCCAATTTCCATCATAATGAAATAGTCGCATAAATCATATTTTATGTGCTATTCAACACTGACCGTTCGTTCGTTTGCTTGCTCTTGTTCTGTTATTTTTTTTTGCTTTCTTTCAACTGAGGATTTGGCGATTTTTGTTTCCTTTCTCTAACAATTTCTATCGCCTCGTATTTACAGTGACTCGAACAAGTTCAGAAGGAAACAGAGAGAGATATATGAGAGAAAGAAAGCAACAAATGACAATAAAATTAATTTTTATGGACTCGTGAGTTCATCATTTCATTTAAGTTTTCATGTTTGTCCACTAAATTTATATTAAAAGAATCTTTTTTATTGGTTCATGACATTATGACAACAGCATTGACTTTAATTGTTGCATAATAAAAATAAAATTCAGTGAATTAAAAGTTTTAAATTTTCAACTAAAGCTTTTCCTCCAATTAAATTTAAAGTTTTCTTATCTGCACATAAACGAAGCTCAACAAATGAGAATTTCCATATTACGATGAAAGAAATTATAAAATTGTTTCCCCGTAGATTACGAGAATTATTTTCTTGATTCTTTTTTTACTGCCTTATCGTTAGCATAACATTGCATAAACCAATAGAAGATTTTTTCTCATGCTTGTTGTCAACAGCAAACATAATCGTACTCTTGACATGTCATACTTTTTATCACTACTTCTCTTCATCGTTGTAAGTAATTTCTTTCTGCTTGACATTATGTTGCGATTGCTTTCACGAATGTTATTTTTTTTGTGGGTGAAGTCAAGGGAAAAGTGTGGACTCGTTACGATAACTACTGTTGAAAATGGGACATTTTTTAGTGTCATTCTTGCTTTCCTTCATCCGAAACGAAAGCGCTTAAAATTCCTTGTCTGTGGCTGAAAAAATATTTCTATTAGATGAATGAATATTTAAAGCACTTTTCATGGAAGAGAAGCGACAGCAAAATGTAAAGGAATGGAAATAGTGCTGGAAAATCCGAATAAAAACAAACGCCATGAAGTTTTCGAGTCCCACAAGATTTTCTGACAACTCCATTAAGTTAGCTTTGGAGATGAGATGCCATTTGTCGTGTAGAGAAGCGAAAATCTGCTTCATAATATAAACATGCGGCAGCTTGATATTGGCGTCGATAATGTCCAAAAATATTGGCTAACCTACTCTTTTAAATTCATTAAATATTCACTGAAACTCATCCTCGCTTTCCTTTCCTCATTGTTGCGAGGCTTATACATGACATCGAAGCAATTCTCAAAAATCAGTTCTTTGCATTTGCTTGATAATTGAAAAGTAATATCAGCTGCCAGATAGGCAAATTGATGTTGAAATGATAATTGAAAATTTCAAGCGGATCAAGAGACGACTGTCGCTGGTTGAAAATTTTCTCGTTTTAGAATCGATATCAATTAAAATCACTTAATCGAAATGGTAATTTACACATTTTGTTGTCGCTCCACATTGCTTACCGTGTGTCTGAATCTTTCCATTGTTTTATCATTTTCATTTTTCCGACGAAACCTCATCAAAATCAAATTTTCTTTTTTCTATCGCCCACTCATGAGTTCAGCGTTCAAATCATCAAACAATGACATAGGAATTTTGCTTTTTAGAAGAATTGAGAGTTATTGGATGCTCGAAGATCTCAATGAATAAGAACGGAAGTTGAATACGAGAATATTAATTTTCACTTAATGATCAGCGAAAAACTTGTTTCCGAATCTTCTTCTTCATATCATTGATGATTGATATAGGAACGTTCAAGTTGGAAGAAGATTTCAAATTGATTTTAATAAATATTAACGATGATTATAAGAAGAAAATCTTGCTTAAATAAAAACCTCCGTTGACAGCATTCTGAGGTGCTTTCCTAAGCCCGTCATCTCTAAGCATTTAACACGCCTCGAAGTTTTTGCTTTGACCTTTCAAATTTCATTGCTAGCTCGTTAAATTGATATTTTAGTGGATAAGCTTCCAAGTACGACGTATAAAGTATCCAAACGAAACAAAAACAAAGTCAAGAAGGCTGAAAATGCGAAAATTCAACGAACGGATCAATGTCAAGGGTTGATAGCAAACAATTAAATCTTTGGCAAAAGATTGGAGTAAATCCTATTTACTTTGCTATTTTTTCAATGCGTCCTAACTTGAAAACTGAACAGTATAAAAGATTTAATTTTTTGCTACCGCCCTCTTATAGCCTCCCATCAGGTTGGGCTTGAAATGTGTCTAATCGAACCTTTGATAAAGAGTCGATGTGGATCCGAATCAAGCTTTTTTTTTGTAGCGTGTGATGTGGTTAATAAATCATGGAACCAAACAAGGAATTGGATACAATGCATACTTATACACACAAACACACACAGAAAGTTTCTGTCGAAAACCAAAAACACTCACAAAAAGAAGGAAAGAAAGTAACTCGTCGTGTGGAGAAAACGAAGAAAAAAATTATAAATCGAAAAAAAATTGAATGATTAATGATTGTTTCAACGATTTTTCCTCGATTCTTTCTTTTTTTTTGTCGAAGAGTTTTCGAAATGTTTTGTGTTGGAAAGGAGGTGTGTAAGCTTACCGAATTTGTGCCTTAAACATCGATGAAAAGCTGCCAAAGTTGAGGAACAAAGTTTGGCTCCTTTCACTTGCACACCTCCCAATGATTTTATGTTTTTATCTTTGTTACTTTTTTAATGTACCTTGTGGATTATTTAGAGAACATTGTGAAAATAATTAAAAGCCTCTCAGTCATCGACAAAGTTTTGACGTTCTCACTTGTAGGTTTCGTTATTGGCCAACAGCTTCACAATTGTGATTGAAGTTCTAATCGATGGAGTTGTTCCTAAATGATGGAATGCTTCGTTCGTTATTATAAATCCAATTGTGACGCATCATGCAGAGATAATTAATACAGTAACGAGTTAGAGAAGCAGATGTGGGGGAGAATCAGAAAAATCCCAAAACATGAAAAGGCAAAAATTGAAATGCGAAAAAGTCAATAATTTTAACATTTCATAGAATCGCTTTTTGCTCCTCTTCATGTGCCCTTTTTAATGAAATCATTCAACCAGCCGCCCACGCGCTTATTTTTTGAAGAACCCGCGGAAAATGAAGGGACGGACCAAAAATAAATATGAGGAATAGAAATTTCAAAAAAATGTTTTATTTATGAGATTTTTCTGAACTTTTCGCAATTTAAAATGAGAGGCAGCTGAAAAAAAAGGAAAAGAAACAGTTTGGAGGGTAAGTATGAAGCCGCATTACAGAGATGAAATCCATTCTTTTTGTTCTTTCTTTTGCTGTATTGTCGGGAGTTGAAGAAAAATGAGAAAAGAAAAAAAATAAAATTTCCTTCCCATTTTAATGATGATGAACTTTTCATAAATTTTCAGATAGCATTTGGTCAAATAATAGGATTGCGCTTTATTAACGAAAAGGAATTTTTCGGCCCAAATTCTTTCGACAAAGGTTTCCTTTGTTGTTTAAGTTGCTGATGCTCTTCTATATTGTGACTTACTTCGTTTTATTTTATAATAAATATACAAAAGAGAGAAGAATTCAAATTAAATGAAAAAATAAAGATAAATTCTATCATGCATTTATTTACTGAAATTTAGTGTTAAATCTAAGAAATGTTTTCCAATTTTTCATGTCTTAAGTAAAGAGAAAAAAATGCAGAACAAAATATATAAGTAAGCATGATAAACAGACAATAAATGAATTTTCTCGTCTTCACTGCCAAACTTCCATTTATCCACCCTCGAAACTCTCGTCATGTGTAATAAATAAATATTAATACATTGAATAAATTAAGGATTTTATTTTGATTGAAAGGATATTTTCTACTCCAAGTTTTCGCTCAAATGCTTGACAAGGCTTCACTATGACAAGTACATTCTAAGTGGAAGATGAGAGTTCAGGGTGGGAGCGGAAGAAGCAGATGATAAAGTGAATCCTCCGCAAAGGGAAAGAAAAAAAGGTTCATGAAAGTGATAATTTGATTACTTTCGGAAGGATCTTGTGTTGAACTTTCTTCTAGTTAGTTTGAAGATGATACTCGAAGGTCAAAGCTTTCAAAACTTTCCACGGCGTCTTCATATGAGCTGCCTACGTATGGATAAAGTGAAGGAAATAAAAATAACAGATTTATCGCTTATCAAATTTGCCAATATCTTCCTATGGTCTGACGGGCCTAGCATAAAATTATTTTCATCCCACTTTTACCCCATGATAAATGATAAATGAATGCTTACCAATAAATAACAGAAAGAGAAATCGAGAGTGAGAGTGAAACGAAGAATATATAAAAATCTATGAATCTAGAACAGAGACGACAAACATTGAACAGATTTCTTTCTTTTTATATACCCTCGAAGCTTCCTCGATTGGCAAAATGCAAATTGAAAATGAAAGAAAAAAACACGTTGCGTATTCGTTTAGACGGCAGTAAAGAAAATATAAATTATTTCTCTTAAATGTACAAGGAAACAAAAAGAAGCAACCATTGATAGATAAAAGAACTTTTCTCAATACATATTTCATTTCCAATTTTTTTTCGTTACTTCCGCATGAAGTTCTTAGGTTTTTCCTTTGTAGGGCAAAAACCTTGAAATGTCACGGAGAAAGAAAAAACATTTCAGCTATTCTCGAAGCTTAATGTATAACTCACCCTAAAAGCTCACTACTTTCGAACACGTATTATGATTTATTTATTTTATCGAATTTTTGATTTCTACATGTAAATTTTTTGCTTCTTTATTTATTTACATCATGAAAATAGCAGAAAAGCTCACAATTTACAAACAAAATGGAAACGTCATAAAAAGGGAGAGAAGAAAATTTGCAACCATAATTTTTCTTTTAGAAATTATGTTCATGTGACTGATAAGAGAGAAAAGAAAGACCAAATGATGTTACCTTGACCCAACTGTCTTGTCTTCCTATTAATCGCTTAGAAAGAATAAAAATACTAATCGGATTGAATTCTGTTTTTACCCATAATAAATAGAACGAATCTTTCTGCCAACGAAAGCACATAATTCTACCATTTTGCGATATGATTGTGCGAAATGTTTCAGCCATAAATATATCTAAAAAAAATTCTTTTTCAATCTACACGGAACAAACATACAGCAGCAGTTTTCAATAGATTCAATTTATTTATTATTTACTTTTGAGTTTTGAAGAAAATGAAAAAATAAATTTTCCTCTTATTTGAATTCACAACAAAGTATCAAATAACTCAAAAAAAAAGTTTATTTGCATCCTTCAACGAATAAAATAAAAATTGTTGTTTGCCCATCTCACCCCTTTTTAGCATCGATTTAGGTTTCGGTTTTCACTCTTATCAAATTCAAACCGTACTCACAAAAATTTAAAATAAAATTTCAGCCATCGACGACTCATGAATTCCGATTTCGAATTGAATGTTCTCCAGTTTTGAAGTTTTGATACCACAAATCATACCATTTTGCGCTTCTCAAAAACCCTTCACTGACCGTATAAATGGGCTCGTAGTCCATTGATATCGAGCTACGCAAACGATCGAAAAGTACGAGTGATGATCCATAAGCCAACAATCCACGTGGACAATATTCAACTTGAACCTTTTTGAATATATTTACTGCCTTTAGAACAAGCTCCAACATCATAGCAAGGAAATAGCAAAGTAGAAATGGTGGAGACCATGACATTGGTTTAATCTTGAAAATCTCCATGTCGACGTTGACACGTTGAGTAAATCGTACAGCGTCTGTGACCGGCGTTTCATCGGTGATAAAGATCGGTAGTCCTGATATGTCTTTCGGATTCATTTTGAGTTTAGTTCGTGCACAGAGATGAGCCCAAGCTACATTACCTACAAGCATAAGCGAATGAAGGGTTGGTTGAAGATAATAAAAAAAGGTAAATTGAAGATTCATGTCGTTTATCATGATGAAAACTTTCCACTTTTCATCGTAAAATCTTTTTACATGTTCTAATGATAGACAGAGCCAAAATGATTTTAAATTGCACATAAAAGATCGAAAGCTAAAATATGTTTGAATAAATAATTGTGTAACTAACTAACACTCTTAGTTGATGGCATCTATTTTGAACTTTTCAATTTGAAATAGGACATGAAGTTAGTTGGGAATAACTCACCCACATAACTCAGTTGCTTCTTTCCACCCTCGGCAATTCGTGGAATTTTCCCATTCCATCGTACAGCCAATCTCATAATGGTCGGAAAAAAACGCTCATCGCACTCACCATACATCAAAGTCGGACGCAATGCTACAGTGTTCAAGTGATCTGATGCGAAAGAAAGAGAGAAAAAAGCAAGCAAAATATAAATGATGAATTTCTCTTCATCGCTCTTCATTATGGCATTGACATTGTCTTTTCCTTTTACCATCCATGACGAGAAAATGAAAATCTCTAAATGAGGATAATGAGTGATGCTACTAAAACGGTTTCGTGAAATAAGAGAAAATAATGATGAAAGATGTGGAAAAGACGACAAATGCGGGAAGATTGTAACAATGGTTGAGTTTTAACTCTGTTAGACGAAAACGAGTAAGGAAACTGAGACCAAGGTGGAAACACAATGACGTGGAAAGGATGGAAAAAATTAATTTAAACCGTTGTCTGGAACATAGAAAAGAGTAAATCTCTTGAGAATCTTCTTAACTGTACACATAAATATTTTCTTTGTGCTCAAACTTAAATTAAAATAATTAATCATTTTTTCTCGTTCCTCGTAACTCGAACTGAAGATGAAACAAAAACTTTTTGCTCATTATCGAAAGAAGCATTAAATAGCCTTAAGCTATTAATGTCTTTGCATGATAAGATATTTATTGCTGGGGAAAAAGGAGAAATATTCCGATCCAATAGAAAAATAGTTTGAATTGAAGTATCATGAAAAATTACGAAAACTTTTTTTTTTCTTGTCTTCCGAAGCACTCGAGGGCATACAAGCAAAATAAAGTGAAGTGCAAAGTCGATTGAATTTACCAAAAGAACTTGTAAATGGCACTGAGAAACTTGACACAATGAGAAGGAGGGAAAATTGTATAAATTCGAATTGTTGTGATGCTAAAAGCTTCTTAATACAAGCGGAAGCTCAACCATTTCGTGAAAGGTCTAACTATCCTACATTACACAAAAGAAGTTTTTACATTTTCGTAAATGTTCCATCTCGAAAGAAAAGCTAAAAACTTTCTTTCCTTCTTTCTTCATTCTTCTAATTTTTTCTTTCCTTTCCATTCTTTTTTTTTTCTTCCCAATTTTGGTATTTGGTCATTTCATGTGTCGAACAGTGAAGAAATTGTGTACATTTTGAATGGACATTTCAAGTCTTAAACAGCAGTTTGGGATAAGAAGTCTGCTTCCGAAGTTTAGTGCGTTTACATTCTGATATTGTCATGAATCGTTCATATGATTAATAACAGATGTTTAGGGATTAAGTTTCTCTCACAATCATCTTACGTTGTCGCATCCCAAGCAGTGTTCAAGTCTGTAAAGATGAAAAAAGGGGATGAAAGACATGTCAAAATCTGTCGAAAATTCTGGTGACGTCGGATATATCTGGACTGACACTTTTCTTTATTGTTACCATGTTAGATTTTCTGAATTGAGCCCATTTCACATCCACCCCCTTAAACACATTTCATATGATAAAAAAAAAGAAGGAAAAATGAAGAAGAATGAAAGCAACAAAAAAAAAAAGAAAGCAGCAGAAACTCAAATGTCCAAGATGGAGGTGGAACAAATTTTCCGGCCAATATAAGTATAAAAAGGAGTGAACGGAAAAGTGATTTCAGCTCATTAAAATACAGACAAACACGTGCTACAAACAGCCGCTTAATGTGGTGAAGGCAAACTCTTAACATTTCTAGAGGAATAAATTAATTATAAATAAATGAGAAAATTTCTGCTGCCATTAAAGCGTTTCGAATTTTATAAAACATGAAATGCAAGAAGAACTCAACATGAAGTGAAGTCATCTGTGTAATCGTAGAGATGAGAAAACTAATTTCAGGTCAATTTAGAAACATTTAGTTGGTGAATTTACCTTTTCCATTAATCAGTTTTGTTCCATGTGATGAAAGAACCAATTTTTCAGCTCGTAACTTCGACGCTGGAAACCCGGGAATAAGAAATTGACTGTCAGTTGATGGTGTCTTCGCCTTAGATTCGGTCTGATTTACAATTATAGAAAATGTCCCTTTTCCCATGTAAGGCACGCTAGAATTTTGTAAAGCGTTTGTTGTACATTCATTTTTGATGATAACATGGAGCGAAGGTAGAAGAAAAAGAAATAAAATTTATCAAATTTCTCATATATTTTTCAACAGATCCTCATCAAATAAAAAAAAGAAAAGAAAAGTTATAAGAAAGGAAACTCAAACTTCTTTTAAGGTCATAATTCAAGGTATACACATGAGATAATGTGTAGTAAGAAAATGGGATGTATTGTTGAAATGATAAATTTATCGACTGTGAAATGCTTTATCTCAAATTTGATTCACGTAGAGATGTGCTTTTAAATGCGAACCGTATCCTCCTTTTAGTGTGCTAACTTACTTGCATGTGCCATCATATCATCGCCTTTCGGATGCCTTATAAAAGCACATCTGACGTAATCAACATCAACTCGGTGGGAAAGACGAAAGATTATTCATTCTTATACTCACAATGTTACCAGCGCACTGCTGGTGTAAATTAAATTAGGCACATTGTGCTTGATGCACAAATCAATTACATTCTGGGTACCTTCATATTTGTTATTTTGTTGTATCCATTGGGTTGTAATCATCCACCCACGCAACCCGCATTATGAAAGGATCAGCATGGATTTATTGAAATGGAATGAAAACAAAAACTATTTAGCTTTTTGTTGCTCTAATGCTTTCTTCTTTTTACTGCTGGCCTTTTTCAGTTTCTCAGTGTTACACACACACACACACACAAGTATTTACACATACAACATTATAAGGAAAAAGGAAAACGCGTGAGGATTTTAACGAAAGCTTTGACATAAGAAAAGCTAAAGAGACCGTCATCAAAATAAAGGATTTACATTGTTTGTGATTGTCGTGCGCTTATGTGTGTCTAATGCTCATTTGAAGTACAAGTGAGTTTATGTTATGGTCGATGTATCTGCAGCAGATTAAATATTTTCCCACCCCATTACATTTGCTCATGTCTCACTCGTTTCATGACGATTCTATTTGACTGTCGTCATTGAGCTTGCGATTCACAAACGACATCCGCATCCCGTTTTTCTAACATTACATGTTAGATCTATTTTTCCCATTCCTCAGAAACATTTTGTGTTCTTCTCTGCCGTATGCTTTTTTCATTTCTCTAACTCAACAATGTTAACTGGTCTTGAAATAAATGGGATAACGGCAATGACGATGTTGATGACGATTAGAGGGAAGGAGACAGAAAAAAATGAGTGAAAGAGAGATAAATAGAAATTCTGTGGTTTTATTTGTTCTCTAATTTGACGACAATTAAATATGAATTATTGAAGGTAGATTCACATTTGCTCTGCTTTTACTCCCATGTAATTGGTCAATTAGTCATCGACCAGACCAGAGTATACACAATCACCTTCACATAAAACTTCCCCATCCTTAAACATTTCAATACAAGAGTTGATATTAGTAAAGAAGCTAATTTTTCCACATACGAATTGTATGTTTGAGTTGATGTTTCATAAGTAAGCTCATAAAACGGTAAAATAAAGTAATTAATACTTATTAAAAAGTAAATTGCAATGACAAATATGTCATGATAAAAGTACATTGCTAAAAGCCCTATTTTGATCATCAAATAGAAGCGACCGTAGAATTGTAGCGGCATGAAAGCCAGTGAATCGAATTAATACATTGAATGTTTAACATAATCTCTTGTAAATTAATTCACTGTTCTATAGAGAGAATGGCAAAACAGAAACAAATTTTAAAGACTGCCACTATCCCATGCTTTAAGCTTTTAGAATACATATGTGCTCCATTCTGCAGTCCCACAATTATGTTTAAAGTTGAAACAAAGAGAAAAAAAATGAAACTCTTACCCTCAAAATCCACAGCTCACACAAAATAGAACTCGAACTCGTATTTTAATCATTCCATACCCGGTTAATTCTCTTATCTTTCGGTTGCCTGATAATTGAGGTTTTTATTTGAATTTGGATTAGTATCTCATTCCAGTTTAGAATTCAAACTTCCTCAATTCATTTTCTCTCATACCGATAAATTTCTCATGTCGAGAAACATTTATTTCAATTGAAATTCTTTTAACATTCATCAAAATTCTTTTCTATTCATTGATGATATTAAATTATGGTATGTCTTGTCAAATATAAGCATTTCAGCCTGAAGAAATATTGAAAATCAATATTTTCTACTTAAAAATATGCTAAATTAATTAGGGAATTTATTTAGATATGTTTGACGTTTTGTATGCTTTTACCATGAGAGTTCAACGAATCAGAATTTAATTTATTTTCCATAGCTTCAATTATTCTTATCAGGCACAAAATTATTTAATTTCAAGTTAATTAAAGTGATGGTTAGAAACAATTGAATGATTTTAAATTGAATTGAATTTGCAGATAATTTTGATTTTTAAAGCGACATAAGTAAACAATGAAATCGCAATGGCATTCAATTTTGTTGGTAATGCTTTGATATCTTGACTTTTTTTTATTTAAAAAACACGCTTGTAACCACAAAAAGATTACAAAGGATATCAAATGTTGTCATCATGTAAGTTTCAATGTCGATAAAATATTTCCTTGTAATTTTATTCAAATTACACGCTCTTTAAATTCTCAAATTGATGTTTAGTGGTGACTTAGTGTTTGTTTAAATCATTACACAAAAAAACCACTTCAACTAAGTACTTTCAAGTAAATAAATATTCTCAATTACAAACAAACAATGGATGAATGTGTGACAATTAAAATAGCGAAAATATTGAAATAAAAAATTAAGAATCTTTCTCCTTCACATCTGAAACAACAATTTCAAATTCATCATGGTATAAATTGACGAATATGGTTGGGAAAAATTGATGATTTAAATACAACAAGCATTTTCCCAGATTCGACCACCCACAACATATCTCACATCAAGAAAATTTACATTCACAGAGAGGCCATTAATACAGAATATAACAAATTACCCTTCACATTAACACGTTCTAATTCATCGAAATTTGGTGGATATTGAAAATTAATGTAGGCAGCACAATGGAATACACAATTGACTCCCTCAAATGCATGCTCGATGCTGGCCGGATCGCAAATATCGCCCAAAATTGATACTAACTTTTTATGTTCGCTATGTCCTAATCAAATAATAAAAATTGCGTTAATTAAGTTAACAGATACTAAAAGGAAAGAGAAAACAAAACACGAAAAAGTTGGAGGGATAGCAGCGAGGAGCGAAGAACGCTAACGGCTGTAAAGTAAGAAAAGTAAACAGTACAAGCAAAAAAGATGCGAGTTTAATGGGGAGGGGAGGTGGGGCTTAGAAATTAATTTCTCTCGTGTTTTCTTTTTTTTCCTTTTGTGTTTTGTTTTTCTCCCCCAACCTCTCAATATTTACTTAATCGATTTTCGTACGGTCGCAAGTCTACAATACGTATTTCCTTTACTGTTGGATCACGCTCTTCAATCAGCCGAACGATATGCTGCCCTAGAAATCCACTGCCACCTGAAAAGAGAAAGAAAAAGAAACCGAGGAAACGGTCATTAATTTTACTTTTTCTTTCGACGGGATTTTCACTCTGAAAATCATTTATGTGCATGCAAGGCTTAATTGAAAACTAAACCTTGAACGTCACACTACACAAGACATTAATTATTACATTTTCTTTATTTCGTTTTCTTTTACCACATAAGCAGTTAGTTAGCGTGTGCGAGTCGACATAAAATATTGCACACTTCCGCGCTCATTCAAAACTTTTATGTTAAAACCAACGCTTTGCTATCATATTTTGTATATCGCATTACAAGCTTTAAGCTCATAAAGTCGGAAGTCAATTGTTTAATTTTTCAATTTTATGTCTCTTAACTTCACCCTCTCGACGATCGTTGTAAGGCGATGACTGAGAAGTTTATTGGATTTTTAATGAGATTTAAGCCCCAAGCGAGAATTCTTTTCCTACTTCTGTCCACCTTTAATTCAATCGTCTGACATCTTCATTCTCCACTGTCCTATTTCCAACTTTTCTTCCCTTCCATAACCCCTCAAAAGCTTACAACTGATAGTGAAAAAATAGAACAAGAAATTAATTGATTTCCGTTTTATGGAGGTTTTATTTTCAGCTCGATGGGCTTTAGTGATCTATTTCGTGTTCATTCGTTTGTCGAATTTCATTTTGCTTTGATCACACCAGTCAACTGAAGTACCTGTTCAGGGGACATAACAAAATAAGAAACAAATGACATGTCTCGATGATAGAACATTTTAATTGGTTTACTTTCGGTAAATGAAATATAAACAGAAAAGAATATTCTCAAGTGTGACATAGTCGACACAACACAACTAACAGACTAGCCAGTTACAAGATTTTTCTCTCTTTTATGTAACCTTAAATAGTCTACAAAAAAAGGTAAATCGTTTTCAGGTTTCTGACGTCAAAAACCTTCTCTATTCTCCTTTTTCGTTTGTTGACTTTTGTCTTATAAAAGCGGACGTAGTCCATTCAGAATTGTTAATTAAAAATATTACGAAAATATAAATTAAATAATCAATTTGACAAAAATAACTTTGAGAATGTTTTTCGGGTAATAACATAATTTACAAGAGAATTAAAAGCTTTTTTGCATTCTTAGCTTGTCAAATCAGATTTGAAATTGTTAATAAATCATGAATAGAAACAACTTGGTTGGATTTATGAATGTTTTAAACAAGTGCACAGCAAATAAATTCATAAGACCAAACAAACTGCTGCAGGTTTAAGTCTAAAATACCCCGAAAAATCTTTTTTGATCCAAAACAAATAAACAAAAATTGGAATCATGACAGAGCAGTTAAAAATTGGGAATTTAGAGTATGCTGAATAAATATTAAAACTGTCAAGCGAATGGCTTTTCCAATGTGCCATAACATGGTGAAAAGAGTTGAGTCGAGAGTTTGTGGTATTTAATCCGTCCACTTGACAAAACTGTTTTCCACTAAAACCATTCTTTACTCATAAATTTTCAGTATTGTTCAATTTAAATTAAATAAAATAATCAAATAGAATCATCTGTCATTGAGCATTGAGTTTATAATGCATAAATGTGAAGTAAATATGATTGAAAGCTACAGCAGATCAAAGAATATTGTGGAAGAAGTCAGGAAAAGAACGAATTGCGGAGCGAGTTTATCAAGATTTCTGAATTAATTAAATACAAATTAAACTTTTTTCCACTCCCCTTTGCTCAAATATTCTCTCTTGTTTGGTTTTTATCTGTTCCAACAAAGCGTTGATTATGAACGCTCAATAAACAGACTTTTTACTCGACAACCCTTGATTAGATGTTGATGAGGTTTTTCTTATTCTATTAAATAAATTTTAATATTTCTTTTCACATTGTAACAAGTTTAAAAAATTAGTTTGACGCACGCAACATATCAAAGATTAATTAATTATTTCAAGTGGACAGCATCCATAGCGTGTTCATGTTTTTCCTAAGCAATTTCATTTTTGGTGATAAATAATTTGCAATTCATGATGATGACGACAATAAATGAATTAACATGAATGAAAATGGGATCAGAAAACGCTGAATGAAAAATACATAAAAAAGCGCTGCATAATATTCATAATTTTATTTTTTGTCTGTTATTTAGCTTTCATTTTGTTTTGTACCGGGAAAATAATCCAACATCGCACAGGAGAGAAAAATGGTCCTTTAATATTATTTTATATTTATCATCCTTATAATCATATCATAATCATTTTTTTTACTGGCATAGTCCGCTATTGTTTATAATCGACAATGACGATTTATTATGTCGTTGAATATAAAAAAAAATATTCGTGTTTTATACATGTTTTGTTGTGGCAGTGGCGAAAAAAGTGATTCATTTACGTGCGTAACACGAATTAATGGGTGAACATTGAGGGCGAGAAAAAATTAATTTCTTTGCTGCCATAATTAATTTTCAATGAAATTTTAATTATTGAAATGGCTAAGGCTTTCACGATTACGTTGTCAAATGTTCATCGTATGATTTATCTATAAAGCAATTTTCGGATTAGTCGCCATCGTATCGCTTCGCCTTTTGTCCGAAAAAAAAGAATGAAAAGAAGAAAGAAATGAATATTCCAAAAGTGACAATCTTCTACTAACAATTTCTCTTTCATTTCTCATCCCACTGGGCACGGAAGAAAAAGCGACAAGCAGATAAAACATATTTCTAATGACACTCAACCAAAAGAAGTGAGAGGGAAATAAAATATGATTTTCAAACACCATCTCGGGCCCCGTAGGACATTTCACTTTGTTCTTGCACTCAACTTATAAATACGCTCGAAGCAACAACACACGAAAATCATATTTTTCCTCTTCTTTTATTTTCTCTTGTTGTGCTTTAGCATTACCCAACTTTTGTGTGTCAAGCTACATGTGTATACACGTTGGAATTTATATCATAATTTTTATTGATAACAACAACATGAAAAAATGCTTTTTCTTTCTCCATTCGGAATCAATATCCAATACTGATTTTCAGTAGAAAAGCATGAGAGACTTGATATCTATTATGATATCTGCCTGGTGCTACTTTTATACATTTCGATGGCGTGTTCAGCTTGCTTTTTTCTCCTTTCTACACGCTCGCTCCACATGCTCTTGGAAATCCCATCATCCCCAAACAAATTCTTTTTTGTGTAGATGTGTATGTAAGTATGTAATAGACAACATTCTCTTCAATATATTTAACAAGTAGCAATCAGTAATGTGAGGGTCACAGTCAACATTGTCAACTAACCTCATAGCAAAGTCCAAGTCTTGTGGAATTATTTTTATTGATTATGTATGGGAATTCGTGTATTTGGATTTTTCTTTCTTTTTCTTCTTTTGATGGCAAAAAATATCATACGTTTTTGCAATACACGCATAAGAACTTAGGAATTCTATCTCATTCGATTCTCAATAAATGATTTTTCAAATGGCAAATAAAAAGGAAAGCAAAAGGAAAAATAAAGTTCTCGAAATAATATTTTTATACATTTCACGAACAATTGCGAGGCAAAAATATAAAAATGCTTTAATTCTCAAGTGACTTCTGATGTTTTTCATCAATACTGAAATGCTTTGTCAGAAATCGAATTCTAAGGCGAAGAGTGGAAAAGTTGTTTTCATTTCCAAGGAAATTCATAATAGTCGTCAATTTGAATGATTTTTCGAATGCTAAATGACGGTTCAAGGAAATTGAATTTGATTGAAAAACGTTTTATTGAATTTAATTATGAAACGAAAAATAAATTTTCCAAATTTCGAATTAAAGAGTTGGACAAGAAAATAGTTTTTAAAATTTTTTATTAGGCTCGAAATGAGTAAATATTTGACAAAAATGTCATTTCGCTTAATTGTTTATTTTAACTTGAAACGTTTTTCAAATGCTTTTAATTTCTTTAATGAAACCTCGATTGTTTTATAACTTTCAGGGAGATTCATTTTCATGACTATCTAAATAGATATTTTCTGATTAGTTTTAATCTTATTATGTTATTAATTATGAACTTTCAAATTAAAAGTTTTCCAATTATAAATATCTAACTTGTTCTTATATTTCTTTCCTTCTCTTCTTTATGACAAAACACCTTACGTAATATACAAAACATGCCCGAGGATTTCATTCAAAGAATCATGAAGAGATGAGAAAGCTAAAGGAGAATATAAAAGAAAACTTATATTGCAATAAACGATGTAAAAGTAAATCTGACGAGTTGAAGTTACTGGAATCATTGCAAAAAAAGGAAAAAAATATTGTAGAAAAAGAAAACTCTCCCGAGCTGAGAAGCGGCAAAATGAAAAACTTTATTCATTGAAATGTTTATTTGGAGAAATCTGTTTGCACAGCTCTTTTCATATTGCTTGCCTTAAATAAATTAATTCCTGTTTTTCCCTGCCTTTCGACTTTAATTTAACTTCTTTTCTTTCTTTTCTGACAGTGGCAAAAACATACAAGAGATAAGACATTTCCATCTCAATTTTAATCTTCAAGCTTCTGCTTTTTCGTTCTTGTCTCTTATCCTGCCGCCAGACACTATTCCAGTGATTCACTTAGAAAGAGAGTCTAAGAAAAATAATCTTAACTACGCTTCTTTTACTACAAGTCAAACCATGGTGCGATGAGTGGAATGAGAGTGATGTTGTAAGTGGAACATGCTGAATCAGAAAGAGTAAACAAACAGTGAGATTTAGTTTTACGGGTGATGCTTTTATCCCCTTTTTCGCCTGCTATTGACTTTACAGACGAAATGAGATTAAAGGCAAGAAAACAACTTCATAAATTAATATGTTACGAGCAATATATCTCGACTCTTTTTCATTCCTTACTCATTTCGCTTTTCTTAACCGACAAGAAGAAAAAGAAGAAGAAAACAGTCTTAATAAATTTCAATTATGTAATTAAAAAGCTCTCAATTATGGTTTTTATTCGTTCAAAAAGAGTATCAAGCCACTAATTTAAGTTGGTAAGATGTTTAATTCGCTTTGTATCAGCATCACCAGAAGCAGCAGCAACAGTAACAACAACAATAATCGTTAAGACGAAACGAGTTTCGTTTTCTTCTGTCAAGAGAGTGCAGCGCGTAGATTTGTCTTGAGGGGATTTCTTAATGGTTGAAGAAATAGAGCTTAATAGACAACCAGTGGAGCTTTGCATAAAGCCTTAATCAACTTACACAAGAGATGAGAAAAGAAAAGAGAAAAATATTCTTTGTTGTGCTCTTCAAAGCACTGAAAAACATTCTTAAGATTCCGAATCAGATTTGATTTGGTATTCGTCGGCATCTTCAACCCACAATTGAGTTGAGAAGAAAGCAAAGCAAGAAAAAAAAAGCAAACACGGCTCAAAAGAGATAAACAAATCGAAAAAGAAAATTCGCTTTTTAAATTCCTGCCAAATGAAATCTCGCTTCATACTATTACGTGTTTTCCTTCTTCTCGTTATTAAGTTAATTGGGAGTGAGAAAAAAGTAACCTTCATCCATAAATTTTTAATTTTGAATTCGGGTCTTACACATTTCACGGCCCACACGTTTAGCTTCACTTTTTTTTCTTCCTTTCTTTTTATTTTCCAAGTCGGCTTTTCTTAAAATGTTTTACTCATTGTATTTAATTGCGGGTCGAAACGGAAGGGAAAAAAATCTTATTTTTTTTTCATTGCTTCCTCATTCCTACCCTTTCGCTGTTCGATAAGCAGCAGTAGCATAAACAGTCAGTGAAAGAAGAGATGGTCGAAAAAGAAAAAGAAGTTTCAACTGATCCTAAGGGATTTCATCAATTCGATAGCTAAGAATTTGTATTTTCACCTCGTGTTTCTTTCTGTTCTTTACTTTGCTGTCTAATGGCCAGACAATTCTCATTTCCAAGGGTATAATTAGACCGTTAAGTTTTCCAACTCACCTAAGTGCAGATGGAAACAAAAATGTGGGCGAGTAAAAGGAAGTCAAAAACGATTTGAGATCACTTTAAAATAATTAAAGCATTGCGACCTGGGCTAAGTTAAATGGAGTGTGAGACAAGCCATTATTTGATAACTTTTTTTTATTTTATTTTATTTTCTCTTACTTTCACTTCATAAGATCAAAGATAATTTTCCAACCCCGCACTTCCACACCGACATGTACACGACTCGCTTTGAAATTTCAGAAAAGCGTAGCATCTCCTCGTATCAGCATTTAAAGACGTAAGCGAGAGGAAAAAGTATGTTTCACCACCCAACGGCAATTAAATTAGAGGCACAAGCCATGTAGGAAAAGGGCATGAAAAAGTTTTTCTCTTTTCCTTTTATTTGTACGACTTAAATATTCGTGTATCGTGAACATTCCTTTTAAGATGTTTATACGGCATTTATGAAATTGAAATTTAAGTAAATAAATTTCTTATCAATTTGACGCTTTTCGCTTTTCTACTTGCCATAAATCTAATTAAACTTGCTTATAATTTACTTGATATGATAATGGACTGAAAATGTGTATGTAGGAGAGAAAAATGTGTGTTTGATTCACGTGTAAAGACGCACAACGGTAATTAAGGAAAGCTCATCAAATGGGGCGCATTAATGTAAGACATAAATAAAGTTAACGTTTGCAGACGAAAATCTATAATCAAAAAGTCTCTAGGGTAATTTTTTGCAGATTCGCCATTCGACTAACGTTTCATCGACATAAATCTGTCTCGAAAGCAGACGAAGAATGCTTCAAGAGTGCCACTGATGGATCGATTTGATGATACAAACGAGAACAGAGAAAAATCTCCTTCCCCCTTCAATTTTTTTTTGTTCCTTGTGATATATCGGACAATATCTCATGCTCAATCTGTTTTACAATTCGATACCCGGTGCTTTAACTGCAACAGTAGCCTGACAACAAACTATAGTCTATCACACCCATGTGTCGATTCTTATCCCTCTCGATTCTCATTTTTCTTTCTGCTGTTCCTTGTTTTTGCTTTTTCAATCAACGTGTCAAAATGAAATATTTTTTAAACAAATTAATTTCAGCAGGGAGACATAAAAATTCACATCGAACGTAATTGAGAGCGGAGTAAAATGTGCTCGGTAAACTTGCCAGTTGCCAATGAAAAGGAAGAAAAAGTCATAAATAACTGCTTCGAAGGCTCACTCGAAAGCATTAAAAATGTTCTGCAACATCGTAGATTCAACGGCTAATAAAACATGACACGATAAGGCAAGAAGGAAAGTCGACTCAATTAACCTTACGACCTCGTATACATGAACATTGTATCCAACGATATTACTAAATAATTCAATTTTTGTTTAAAAACTTTTCCATATTCAGAATTGTAATCGATAAACGAAAATCCATGACATGATGGCAAATAAAATCTTTTCTATTATTTTCCTATTTTTATTATAAAGCAAACATTCAAGCAGTTATTGAGATAACTCCAACTATCTAATTGAATTATTTCCTGCAATTGATGGAAAAACACTTTTGTTTAATGGAACACAATGGAAGTTTGTTAAAATCTAGAGAAAAGTATTAAGATATCTGTATAATGTAACTATCAATTTGATTTCACATTTCAAAATGTCATTTGGTCCTCGAGATAAGCAAGGAAATTGTATGAATGGAAAAACTTTCAATTAAATCATTTTCAGGTTCAGCGTGAATAGAAAATTAAGATTTTATTGGCAAATAAAACTATAACAATACGAAATTTGATTCAATGAAAATGATTTAACTGCACTTCATAGGATTTCGAGATTTTATTTTTTCCTTTAATTATTTTCATTCTTTGTTTCAATCTAAACTTTTGATTGGAAGAAAATTAAATGACTGGGAGGTTTATCGAGAGATTGTGGAAGAAATGCACGAAGCAGTCGCTTGATTGATTTTCAAACGTTTATCTGATCGACCATCAACGTTTTCACTCTTATTTGTTCATTTTTCATTTGGCCGTAACGTCTTATCAAACTGTTAAGCTGAACACAAAATATTGCAGCGATTTCCTTTCCATCTTTCTCATTCAACCAACTCCCACTCGGGCTTCGATACACATTACGCTTTTAGATCACTTCTCATTAAACACAACGGAAAAAGTCTTAAACAACATTAAAAGTGCTATAAAAGTAATCTTTTTTTTACAATCGCCCGAGTGCCCGCTGCCGTTCACGCAATAGGAAAAATGGCGAAGGGCTTTGGAATTCTCGATAAAAGCCAAAAAGAAAAGAAATATCATCTAAGTCAATGTTTTTTTATGGCTTCACATCGATAAACACGCGCTCACATTCGAAGTGAAAAGACTTCATTCTTGTAAAATTAATTTTAATTAAAAGCCAATGAAGGTTTAAGGAAAAAATATTGAACTGTTAAAAAGTTTTCATTGCGAAATAAATAAATGAATCTAAGAAGAGAGAGAAGGCAAAAAGCCATTTCAACTTTAGGTTCGCAAAATAAAGAAACTCAAGTAAACAACAAGTCATGGAAAAGAAAATTTTAATTAAGCAGAATGAGGAGAATTTGTTCAGATTTTCAGTTGATTGCAAAAATTTAACTACGAGAATTCATCATTAATCATGTGGTTTAAAATATTCAAGGTTTTAGTGAAACGGATTGTGAATAATGAAGCATTTTTCAGTGTTTTTTTTTTCTACTCTGTTTAGATAAAGTGAATGTAAATCACCGACTCATTTAAATTCACCCTCAGTGATCAATTTAGATGAAATTTATAAACACATACAATTTCCACTTCTTGGCATGTTTTGTAAGCTTTTAAAAATCAATCAAAAGTCAGTGAGAAATTGAGAGTAAAATATTCTTCACATTTACCCTCAAGCTGTTTAGAAAAAAGCTGAAAAAATTTCCATAAACTCAACAAATACCGCAACTCAATACAATTCTGACTGAGTGAAACATTAAACCGTGAGAAGTTCATCGAAATTGAGCAGACAGGTTTTTGAAAGGAAAGAAAAGAGTTTGCATGAAGACTTTATAAAGACGAAAACGTCATCTCATTTTACATTCGCAATTGTTTTATGTTGAAGGGGAAAACTCCCTTGAAGCCAAAGTCGCGTTTAGAGCTTGAATATCAATGTCAGAAAACCAATTCCTTACAAACTTTTTTTTCTATTTATTACGTAAACAGATAGACGGCTTTTCACAAGACAAACACACACACACAAATTTTTTATATTTTCATTTGTGAGGTTTAGCTTTCCATCGCATGTTGTGTTGTTGTTGTTGGTGGAGAGATATGAAACATTGAGAATTGTGAAATGTCATTCTTACCTGTGATTAGCACCACATCGCCCTCTCCCTCCTGTTTCATGTCTTAATCCACAGAGTGCTTGTTATATTTACAATGTTATGTGAGTTGTTCTGCTTACAAAGCACTTTCTATTTGATTGCACAGACAGAAAAAGAACGGCAGATTACAAATTGTTGTCGCAAATTCTTCTGGAAAATTCCTGCAGTTATCTTGTACTTGTCATGAAATCTTCTGGGTAATGTCGTTTATTTTATTCGGCATGAAATAAATATCTAAGATTTCTGACTTCCTTTTTCAATTGTTTTTGTCTTCTTCTCTCTTAATAAAGCCTCGGCTTTTGTTTACACAGTTTTTCAGGTTCACTAAACAAAAATTATTCACAAAAATAAAATATCTGGCAAAAAATTTACAAAATTCATGAACGGAAAGAGATGGAGAAAATTGCAAAAAGAAACAAAATAATATTTAGTGTTATTTGCTTGACATTACTTGTAGAACAATAGTCTTCAGGTAAATTTCTGACAAATAAATTTTACATAACAGCAAACGCATGGCAAAGTAGAAAGTCACGTTGCTACCGTCATCCATTGTCCGAATTCTAGAAATTGTTATGAACAGTTGACTGTTGTAGAACTCAAAAATTCATTAAAAACATTCACAAAGAATGCTCTGTGTTGACTTGAAATGTTTTAATAAGAATTAAACTCGTGTAAAAACATTCATTCAGAATCGTAGCAACGAACGGAAGCAATTTTTTTTGAGTTTTATGCTTCCTACCTACTCTCAATAAATAATCGCACCATTTATCATTTAAAAAAAACTTTATCTCTGTAACAGAGTTGTCACTGTAAAACATTTTAATAAAAATATTGCAGAAAAATAAAACATATTTTTGCTAACAAATGCTTTTTATTTCTTTTTCCGTGTTCGCACTTTCAGTTTAATTTATTAGTGAATTAAGCTTTTTAAATTATGCAATTTTCAAAAAAAAAGAACTTTTCTCTCTCTCTCTCTTGCTCTTCTTCCGTCTTACTCTCACTCACTCTACCTCTCTCTTTCTTCTTCATTCACTCACTCTCCCCAGGGAAGTGATTTATGGTTTGAGAAAGAACTGGTTTGAAAATAAAATAAAAACTCAACTCATAATAACTTTATTCTGCAATTTTTTACACATGGAACAGATAATTCAGAATGAACAAGATAGATAACTCACTAAAGTACTGCAAAATTATTAAGTTTATTATGCGGAAAATGAACTAAGAACTCTTTATGCAAAAGATTAATATTTTTATGCAATTTTCTCCACCCACATCCTCAAGCCTTCCCAACAGTGTCTTCGTCGTTTGCGCTTGCAAACTTCCTTATTTTTTTTTAACTCCTTTATTGTTTCGTAAAATATCAAGCGACTCACGTTTATGAATATAGAAGTGAGAAATGCAATAGCTTTAAGCACAACACCGCAGTACTATTCATTCGATCTAGTCGCGTTTACGGTTTTAAAACAACTGAATTAAATAATTCGCTGATTTAATAAAGTTTTTCTCTCTCTTGCAGACTTTAAATTGATATTTTATTCAAATACTACAATCCGACTCTTATGAAGATTTCTTTCTCTTTTCATTTTATCGTTGACGTTGTCTTCAATGCCTTTGTCTGTATGTTTGCACCAAAATCTAGTTTCATTTCTTATACTAAATTGTTAAACACGTTTCGTGTGAAGCAAAATAAATATAACAATAGATGATGGGTGACAATATCTAGTTTCAAAACTTTCGTTAGCTTAAACGTTGGAACTTGTCACCCTATAGGTTTGTGCTGACTGCTGACTGTTGTCTACGACAACTTCTCTCTTCTCCGCCTTAATTATTTCCCAACGTGTTTGTCTTGATTTTTGTTTCTGGGCCAAAATATTCGGCTTTAGCTGTTTCTCCATCGAACTCTTTTATGGAGAGCTTGACCAGTTTTGTTTCATTTAACAACCTCTTTCTCACAATCTTCGTCTCATTCATTAGCATTCTGTTTTCATTTAGACGCTTAATGTTCACTTGAAATATTTGTGTTTATTTTATTATTTTATAAAAAGAAGCAAGCTGAATGCGACTTTATTGTTTCGCAATCAAAATGTTTATTGTGTACATGTTAATTGTATCACAACCAGGTAAAATTGAGATTTTTAAGGTAGAAAAAGTTGACAGTAGCAATGGCTGTTGAAATGAAATCTTATTTCATGCCAACAATGACCTAAAAACTTCTCTTGCACGCACCAACTCTTAGTTTCATTCCCATAAAGGAATAAAATATTTGATCAGTTAAGAAATGTCGTGATTTCATCCAAACCCCGCAATTAAGCCTTTTAGGATAGCAAGCAACGATGTTGCGAATTTATGAATTCGATTCAACTTATTAAACTGACTTTGATGATGCTTAAATTTCCAGCTTACAATTTCCATCACAAGAAATCAAGATGAAAAGCACATGATAAGTGTACAAGAATTTTTTTTGAGCATCATCACTTCAAATCATTCCAAAATTGCTGCGTCGTTTCAAAACAATCATTTATCGAAAAGAAGAAAAAAAGTTTTATGAGTGACGTGTAATAACTTCCCTTTATTCTACAAACTGATTAGACGAAAGATATTGAAAGCGTGCTTTTGTAAATGAACTTTGACAATTGATTTATTACAAAATTATTGCAGCGAAGTTTTGCTTGCTTGAAGGTTTGATGGATAATCAAGACGAACACAACGACTTGAAACTTGAAGCAGTTGAAGTGAAACTTTTTTACGGAAAACTCTAAAGAAATCTTCAACTAAGTCTTCAATAATGTTTAAGGATGCTTATTTCTTTTCCTCATAAATAGAATATCTAAGCAGGGAAAAAAAGTTCAACCGCAATTTACGCATCGTTTTCTAAGTCAAAAATGCTTTTCATCCCGTACTCACTTTTCACTTGATATTCCCTCATCGCAAAACTTCTGCCTTTCCTCTTTCAGACAATGTAAAATGAAAACAGACACTTCAAAACTTTGGGGAGTTGAAAGTGACGAAGGGTGATATGCGGAAAAGCGAGAGTGGGAGAATGAAAATTGGAAAATCTTGTGTGTGCCATTAGAAAATTTCATCCTCATTAAAATATCATCTTACTCATTGCTTTGAAGCTATTGGGGAGAAGGCAAAGAAAGACGTCGAGTAGTAACATCTTGAATGACTTTTATGACATTTTTCTTCTTTCTTCTTACCAACTTCATCACTTTAAATATATTTTCAGTTCTCTTCAATGTCGTGGCTCTTTATGTTACATCAAACAAGAATCTTTCTTACTGCTGACTGCTGCACTGATGAGCGAGAAGCTTCCGTGGGATTTTTTAATAAAAATTTATTAGAATGTACTCAGATATCATTGTCTCTCACTTACTCATTTAACCTCTCTCCTTCCTTTTCCCCCATTATGCTTATATTTAGAGTAAATGGCATTTTTATGATGCAACTTCTTGTTTTTCGGCGCGTCCATTAAAGTGACTTAAAGTTTTTTTTTCTTTTATTTTTTGTCATTCTTTTGGTCTCGACAACAAGACATGTTCCAATACACGTGACACCATTATTGCAAGCATAACAAGACAAGAAATAAGAAATGGTAAAAGTTGTCCAGGCATCGTTATGTAGGGTCACGGCAAACGACCTTATAAACTAACTTTTTTTTCGTTTCTTTGTTTTCTCAACATTGCAAGCATAAAAGCCAGAGAAGCAATGCATGAATGTTGTAATCGAAGACAGCTGCTGTAAGAAACGAATCGAAATGAATGTAAAGTTCGATTGCTTTTCCTACTTACAATTGTTTCTCGTTCATCTTATCAAAGAACATTTAGTGAATGTGACATTAAAAGGGATATTCTCATGAACCACATTTATTGCTTCCACATAATGCGAAATAAGCACCATTGAGAGACATCATAAAAGACTCGCAAGGATTCATTTGATAGAAGAGAGATGGCTGAAAAAAGTTGTTTAATTTTCGGTTCAAGGGAATAATGATTTTTCAAGTATTTTTATGTGTTTTGGTGTGGGGTCCGATATGGTTGAAGAAATTTAATCGGTAGAGGGTGGCAATGGATTTAAGTTGAAGCAATTGAAAGGATATAAATTTCTCCACAAGCATGTGTTTTAACATCGAATGGATCAAGTGAAGAAGAGAAAAAGCATAGCACAGTTAACACCCAATCAATAATCTTTCCTTAAATATTGACTGTTTGAAAAACAAACAAAAAACACATTTTTCCTCGCTGTCTTCCTTGATGCTTCATCAAGCTCCGTTGAGAATGAATCAATCGATTTATTCATTTTTTTTTTGTTGTGTGTTGCTCACATTCTCGTTTTTCTCTACAGTATCATCAATTCACATGTGTCAGAATAATGTCAAACAGATTTTGCCTCAATCCATGACAAAAGTGCTCGCTTACCAGCCACAGCAATACACCAACCATTGTAAGTCGAACAAACAAATTAAAATAAATTTTCAACGTTTAAAAATTGCAGCTTTGCAGTTTTTTATTGGCTTTTGTTGTCTCTTGGTTGGGATAAACTCAGACGTTGGTTGGTGTATTGAACAATAGATCAAAATTTAATGTGGAAAAAGACATTCACTCTGAGTTTAGGAGAGATAAAACGGAAATTATTCACTGAATCTGTAAATAATTTTCAAATACGACTCTAACGATTTCCAAATAGCATTAAAACTTGAGGAATGGGCTGTCAAATAGTTGATCGTGATTTGAAGCATATGAAATGGAGAGCGAATAAATAAATAACAAGAAGAAGGAGAACGAAATATACATTTTGTCAGATAAAAAGTTTTATTTCGTGTTTGGAATTTGAAGTTCAAATAAACTTTTTTTTTCTTCTTTGCTCTTGTTAGGTATATGAAAATCAAATGTTTTGTCATTTCACAGGGGAGTGGGAATTATACTTGAGTTAAGTCAACATATAAGTTTTGTTGTTTAATTTTAAAATTATTTCTAGTTGTTGTGTAAGAAAGTTTTGAAAGCTGCAATTGTTGAACTTTCGAGGAAAAACTCCAAGGGACATAATTTATACACTTACCATGTTTGAATAACAATTTAGTTAGGAAAAAAACTGTTTATTCGTTGAATTGCTTTAGCAAACAAAGTTTGCTCCATTTTTTCCATGATAATTTTCCGAGAAACGATTATACGTGAAGGAGACGTAAAAAGTAAAAAAAAGCGAAGCTCTGCAACAGAATGCAGATGACTGACGTCACTAAACGACTTTTTCCACAGTAAATAACAAAAACAGTTTATGACAAGATAAGAGAAACAAAGTTTTCATTTTTTAAAGACTTTTTTTTATTATTTATTTGAAACTCACGTTAGATATCTATAAGAAGTTGATAAATTCTTTTTTAATTAATCAAGTTTCCAATATTTTACCCTCTCAATAAGATAGTTAAAGGAAAGTTTTCTTCTTCTTTTTCATTATTCTTTTTAATTTTCTTAACAAACTAACGAAAGTAATTGACGATGAGAATTTTCACAGTGTGCATAAGCCGATAAAAAAAGCACAAAGTCATAAAATGTCGCAGACAAAGCACAAACTTCTTTGAAGAGAAAGGCAAAAGGATTGACAAGAAGTTGATAAAAAAGAAAATTTGCTAGCAAACTTTTCAATGTCCCATTAGAGGGAAGAAAAGCGATTAAAGAGAAATCATTAAGAGAAGATAAGGAGGAAGACTCTTCTTGAAATTGAATTTTTTGTCATCTTATTTCTTTGCCGTTTGGTGTTCCATTCTGAAAGAGTCTGAAGAGTTTGCTCCTATTCGTCTTTTAATCCGTTTAATTTTCTTCGAATGAATTGAATGATTTTTGGTAAAAAAAAACACGTTTCTATCTTCATTTCATTTTCTTCTTTCTTTCCTTTCTTTCACCCATCACCGGTAATATTAATTTAATTTCTCATTATCTTAATTGATTTCAGCTATCTGTGTGCTTTCATGTTGGATTCTTTTGTGTATGAGACAAAGTATCTATTTGAATCGTCTCTAGGCATTTTTTGGCATCACTCATTCTATCTTTTGCCTTCTGCAGGCGTGTTCTTATCTGCTTTTAAAATACTTTTAAATTTTCTTTGTGAAATGAAGTCGTGCATGAATAAAGTAAAAAATATTTCGCGGAGATTCTACGAGTTGTTTAAAATTTTTCAAGCGTAAATAACTCTACGAGGAATATTCTTAACGCATTGCTTAGCTTTTAAATCGATACTAATCTCAAATTTACTGTTTAACATTTATTTTTTTTAAATAATTGATTGCTGCATAAACATCACATTTATCGCTCATTTGATGTTCAAGTTTTATTGTCAATATCCATAAAAGTAGCTTTTAAAATCGCATCAGTAATTTTTGTTAGCAATCTGGTGAAAATTCAACTCGATTAAATTCATAGCGGAAATTGATGAAGCGAAAATTGGATTTGATTTGATGGAAAAGCCGTAAAACTATAATGTCTTTGATATAAAATGACAAAATACTAAATAAATAAAAAGAAATCAAAATTAATCTTTATCAAACATCATCTCATTTCTCTTAAAGATTTCCTTCGGTAATTGAATAAACACAAATCGTTTCAACATTAATTGAAATTCTTCTAATCCTCATGTACACTTCAGACTTTAATCTTTTTCTGTGGTTTTTCAAAACAATTTTAAGCTCATACTTAAAAAACTATCAATGAACATTAGATTACTTATTTCCATATTAAGGAAACCAGATAACGACGATTAGTAAGCTTTTGCTATATTTTTACTAATACATAATTTAAATTCTTCCTTCAATTTCAATAATATTTCTGCCATTCTTAAAGCTCATTTTAAAAGCTTTCGTTTGGAAAGGAGAGAAGTTGGAATTTTTAATGAATATTGAAAAGAATTGCAACTGTAAGACTCAATCTTGTTCAAGGCGTTTCTCTTCTTAATGAGCAAAGTCTTTATTTATGATTCTAGTGGAAGGAAAGAGTTGGCTGCTTGCTGGTAAAGACTTTCAATTGGTGCTTCAATAGATTCAAAACTTGAATACTTCTTTCTTCTTATAAGCTTCTTGCTCTTCATGACTTGCTTCGTGTTTCATGCTTCGCTTCCCTTTGGCTTCTTCAAGCTCCATCCAACAATCAACCCCTAATTGGAACAGCAAATTTTCACTTCAATAACCATAAAAATGTTTTAAAGTGCCTCTCTGAGAGTCGTAGGTTCTTCTACCTCTTTACTGTTTCGCTGACTACAAAAAATTTAATTAATTTTTATGCGATTTTTAACATTGTTTCATTTTTTTGTTGCTCCTTCCTATGGTTTTGAGTGTCGCTTTGTTCATCAAAAAAATTAAACATACACACACACAAGTTTTCTTTTTATATTATTCGACGTCATTCTTAAGCTAAATTTCAATTATGAGCTTGGAAATGATGATAACATGTGTGAATATCAATGCTATGGTTCAATGAATTGATACAAAGTCATGGTTAGAGAATGACGTTACTTATTTCTTCGTGCTTTATTTTATTCTTCGCTGGTTGAGAATGGAAAGTCATTGTAGAGTATAAAAGAATGAGTAAGTGAACAATTTATGGTGATTGCATTCAAGTGCACGGACCCTTCTCCTTCATTAAATGAGAACATGTTCTTTATGAGACATTTTGCAACATAACAATAATTAACGTCTCCATAAGAGCGTCGTGTCTTAATTAATTGATTTTCTTGCATCATTCATTTTAATTAAACAACTATTTTTTAATGACTTTCGAAAGAGTTTGCGGAGTCGTTAAGCGCCACGTTTTCTTGTGTCATCATAAAAAATGAAAAGGAAAAAAAAACTACACAATAGTTTGGGATATTAACGTTCTATCAGCACAATCAAGAGGGCGAAATGAAGATGAAATGATATCATTTAAAACATGGAGGGGGTGAGACTTTTCAAAAGCATGTTGGTGTAAATGTTTTTTATGGGCGAACTACAGAACAATTTTTATGTTTCTCGTTCACTCTTCTTTTTTGCTTTTAAACAAGAGAAGCGAATCTACTCGAATAAAACTAAATTCTACGTTGAAATGAGAAATGACAAATTATGACAAATGGAAGTTAAAAAATCTACTGGCAAAGCCATGTGCTTGCTGGGGAGGGAGGCAGAAATGAAGTGGCTTCATGACTGTATTTGCAATGCAATAAATGTAAGTACTTCATGAACCTTGAACATGCACAATAATCTGTTCGTATTTTGCCCTCATTGCACAACAACTTCATCGAGAAAGGAAAACAATATTTCCTCGATGTTGTTGCTTTTCGAGAGAATAAACTTTATCTTTTTTAGAAACTAAATTCATTTTTTATTTAACTTGAAGCAAATTGCACAGCTGAGTTAAAAAAAAGGAAAATAATTTTAATGAAATTCACTTCCATTGCATCCCACACTGTTTTAACTTTCGCGTACCTAATTTCGTTGAAATTATGCTGAGTCGTTGTGATTATCTTTTGCTGATTATGCATTTTCAACTGACGCTTGACGAAATGGTATTTTAAGTCTTATTTATTTGCATGTCTCGAATTTCTGCTGACTCAACAGTGATAATAATGACGAGTGGAAAACTAACGAGTTTTTCCAAAAAAGTGAAAATCTCATTAAAGGAACAGAAGCGAGCAGCACCACAAATGTAAGAAAAATAAACTGAAAACTTTTGATGGGCGACAGCATCATGCAGGGACATGAAGTCATCTTTGTGGCTTTTTCATTCATAACGAATGGAAAAGAAAAACGGATGTAAAAAGTTAACTATCTAAATGGCACAAAACTTTTCAGCTTTTCTATGGGATAAGGAGAACAATAAGAATGTATGTAGGTGTAAGGCGTAAACGTGGGTGGATAATATAATTTTTTCTTTCTTTTCACCTTTTCCAAAAATATTATATTTAGTTTTTCTCATAGGGATGATGTGGGAAACTAAGCGAGATAAGAAAAACTTCCGTCATGGTAAAAGACTAAAGAACTGACCTTTGAAAGCAACAAAAACCGTAAACATAACTTTTCTATGTTGTAAAGGATCGTTCTTGAGAGCGTGTCACATTGAATTAAAAGAATGAGAGAAAGGCAAACAACAGTGACATTACAAAATGATTACCTATGCTTGTCATCCTTTTCTGATTTTAATTTAAAAGCTTTTTATGATTCTGTAAGACGAGTGGAAAGCAAAGTTGAATAGTTTTTGTTCTTGCATGTTTACTTTCACCATCTTGACTTAAAAGTGAATGTCTTCGCAAAAGGATTAATATATTCTCTTCCTTTGCAATCCACAAGGTATCTTACACTAAATACAGCTCTCATTGAGGCTCAAAGACTCTTGTTCTGGTTTTTCTATGTCACCACAACACAAGAGTTGGAACTCTTTTTTATGTTTAAGCCTTCCAATCAAAAAAGGATTAGGCGGGAGAGAAATGTCTTAAGCAAGAAAGCAAAAGAAAAAAAAGAGCGGAAAAGTCTTTCAAGATAACAAAGGTGGAACCTTTTCGGCTTTTGCTGTTTGTTTGCTCTTTAACTAGCATTCGCTTTCACAATCTTCTTAGACTCACCTTTAAAATACGATCCCTGAATTTATGAGGCGCTTTATTTTCGCATTGGATTTTGTGTCCGAGAAATATTCAATAAGAGTTTGAAAAACTTTTCTTTTAAACCTTTTTTTTTGTCGGTGCGGTGCTTCTTCTCTAGAAATCGTAATAATTTCATTTTCATCCTAAACATTGGTGTTTTCTTCATATATTTTCCGCTCCCTTCTGTCGGGTTATCATTTTTCGTAAGCAATTCAAATCCGATATTTCTTCTCGTTCCTTCTTTTGAAATGAGAATTGAGAATAATAATAAAATGGTGATTTTTCAGTCGTTTTGGCATTGTTTGGATATGATGTTTCATTCCAACTTCCATTTACAATCGGACTAGATCATTTTTCCATTATTCACAAAGCCTTCGTAGGGAAAAGGTCAAAATAAATTGCAATTAAAAATCGATAGGTGAATAAATTACTTCTTACCCATCTCACACCCAATTTGATGTTTGAAACAGAAAACTTTTTAACAAAATATATTTAGAATGAGGCACAAGGATAAAAATGAAATATTTACATTTGATAAAGTTAAAGTTAAATTAAATTAATTCAAAAAAAAAAACTTTTCCATCGATTTTATCCCTTGATGTTAAATTTTAAATTTCTTCATCATTTCTTAACGGTGAAGCTTTTAAATCGAGTTGAATTTCTTTCATCATTAGCACTGTGATGGAAACTGTTCTCATTATCAGCACTTTATCAATTATTTCATTTCCACAAAGTTTAATTGAATTTTACAACGAGAATGTTTTATAATTTCTTTTCTTCAATCTAAAACTTGACGAGATGACGACAAATGTCGTTTTCATTTCAATAAGTTCTTAATGGAAACATTCAATCTCCCTTCCATCCATACAACGATCGCAAATCTAGTTGTATTTTGTTAAATTAATTTATACTTCATGAGGAAATTTTTTAGATTGCATTTAAATAATTTAATAAATGTTTAAAACGTATTTAAATTTGGATATATTATAGTAGATGCGTATATATTTAAATAATCTGCAACGAGAGAATAAAAACAAGATTTATTTGTTATGTAGCAATTGATGCAAGTTAATTTTAAACTGTGTTTAAATAATTAAGTATCGATTCAATATTTTCGCTTGCTTCCAAATTAATTTCTCAATTATATCGGAATTTATGTAATGGAGAAGAAATGTTTCATTTATGGAATGTGTTTGCATAAGTGTTTATTAAAAAATAGGTTTTGCACATACACAAAAACATATACGCCCACGCACTTGTTGGCAGGATATCATTGCATTTAATAGCTTTTGAAGTGTTTTTTGTTTTTCACTTTTTTTTGTTGTATTTGTTGTTGAGGGTGATATCCTGTTATTTATGACATTTATAAATGTAAATTCAACACCCAGAAAGCTTAAATTTTTTTATGAGATTCTGTTTTCGTTATTGAAATGGTTTTTTTGGACGATTGACATGAAAAATAGTCAACGATCTCATTGAGAATTGTGTGAAAAGCTATTTAGTTTAAATCGGGGTAAGTTGTAATTGAATTGAGTGTCTGTATGAAACATAAATATTGTAAGAAGTTTAGCAAGAAGAATAAAATAAATAAAATTCATTTCCATGCAATAAAACAGTCGAAAGTTCTTTAAATTATTTTTCATACAATTTTGAGTTATTTTTGTGTGGGAGTTTAGGACAAATCACACAAAATAAATTATCGATTTGTATTAAAGTGTCAAATTGTATCCTTTTCACATTAAATGTAGAAATAATATTTAAAGCTTCTCAAAATCTAGAACTTTGACTGTAACCTTCAAATGAAAACTTTTAATAAAATAAATTTTAAAAAATTTCGTGTAAACTTCGAATAGAAATGAGGCAACTTATGTTGGGAAAACAATCGAAAATATTTGTCTAAAACTAAAACAGATAAAGTTTAACTTTATTGTGTAATGCACTTTAAGTAACATATTTATTATCAAATAGTAACATTATACTCACATTCAACAACTAACGCTAAAAATCCTTTTTTAACAATATAATTGAGAAAGTAGCATGCGAATTTGTTTGTTTCTTTTTTTCATGTTCTAAACTATCTTAATTATAACACTATTAGCGTTCCTTATCAGAGTTTCACTACTTAAACTTATTTATTCTTATTTTGTCTTTTCACTGCTTTTGTTTTTCTAGATAAGTTTTTCTCGCCACATTCTCAGCCCATGATTTTTATAAGATAAAAAAATCCACTTAATTAAATTGAAACCTAATTAATGTTATGTTATTATCCCGATCCATTTAATTTTTAAGCAATTAAGGCAGGATTTAGCGAGTGACAGACGAAGGAGAAAATTCCGTTTCAAAGAACAGAGAAAAACAAAACATAAAACAACAACAACAATCATCATTATTATTATTATTATTATTATTATTATTATTGCACATTATTAGTATGAAAGTGCTGTGTTGTTTCCAACTGTGAAGTCTTTGTATTGAGAAAACACTGAAATCTGTAAATTAAAAAAAAAGCAGAAAAACAGAAAAGAAATTTTTTTCATTAATTAAACCTTAAAATTATTTCAGAGAATGGAGACCCTCACCTTGTCTTTCAATTGCTGACATAACGTTAACGCAACGGTGAACAAAACAAGTACTTCGTTCAGCCATGGAACAGAACATTCCGCTTGTGTTGACTCAAATTTCATCGTCCCTTGATTGTTAGTCAATTGGTAAGTTGCAAAAATTAACTTATGACTTTGAATGTAGAAACTCAATGCAAGATCTTCGGGTAAATTTGGTGATAATGACTTCATGTTACGACTTTTCATTAACTCATCAATCGGCTTCTTTTTCGGTACCACTAAGCTTGTTCGACCTCGCTGCAAGGCACCCAAAATGTTGGATAATATATGAAGTACTTCTTCCGAGGATTTAAAGTTGTAGTTCGAATCGACGTTGTCGATATGATTAATCGCTTGTTGGAGATGATTGGCAGCATCTTGTACTTGCTGAATTTTCCAAGGAAAGTCTTGAGTTATACTCGTACGCTGTATCACATTTTGTTGACGTTGAACTTTAAAACTGATGTCCTGATAATAAGAAAGAAAACATATAAAGTTATTAAGTTTTCTATCAAAAGTTTTCATCACGTGATTTGAAGTTAAAAATTGAAAATTTTCATAACTTACAGCGTGAGTAATACTGTCACCAGTCAATGTTACGACGACCTTTAATTGTTCGGGAGCTGAAGTAAGAACGAACTTATCGACTTTCTTGCCATCATTTCCATATAAGGGCACTGGGAAGCGATGAGCACACTCCACGAGAATGTCATGAAGTTGCTTAAGAACTAACAAAACCTCTTTTTGCAAAATCCACTCGAATTCCAATTGCTAAAATTATAAGATGAGATGTCGTTAGGCTTCATGTTTCAGTGATTAATCATTTGATTATATTCTCCGTGCACATTGATTAATAATTTCTTTAATCTTTAAAAAATATTAAAATAACAAAATGGATTTTAGCAATATTAAAACACTAAATTTAAGACGTTGAACATTATAGAAGCCACGATAAAAAAGCTATCCCGTAATTAAGAAAGGTTTTTTCAAACCCTTGAGTATCTTCTAGTATTACGTTGATAAGGCGTTATCAGTTAATTAAACAAAACTTAACACATACCAAACTTTTCAGTTCTTCTTCCATTTTACGTGCTGTTAATAAATGACGTTACACGAATATCGATATCTATGACCTCTAAGAAGTTTTCGCAACTAATACTTTCCTTATATTTAAAATGTTAGAGTGAAAATTAAAGTTTAGAGGGTAATTTGTATAAACTTGGGAAAGTAAGAAAAATTAGTTATTGTGACGTCACATCAAAACATAAAAGAAACAACAATGAAGGTTCTCAAAACCTTACAAATGCATTCAAAGTTGAATTTTCAGTTAAATTGAGAGGCAATCAAATTGATTTGGAAACTGAGGATTATTATCACCCAATCAAACGTAATTGCTTACATAATGCTGAAATAATAGTCATTCAGTCAAATTACTTTTAAAAATATTTTCATGTGTAGGTAGATATTATTTGAAATCTAATATTTATTCTTGAATCTCGACCGTATCTTCAGAATACACAAAACTTAATTCAATCACGTGGGCTCTTCAAAAGAACTAATGAATTATGTCATACGATCTTAAATTAGATTTAACTTCGACTCACCAATCTTCTTAATTCTTCAACATTTTCCACTTTCTTTTTTCGAGGACGCTTTGTATTTTGACTAAAATTCAAAGTTGGAGTCGATGTCTTCCTACTTTGCTTACGCTTGGAAAAATTTCTTAAAACCACAAAACGTTTGAGAAGAAAATTAATTGATTGTTGTACAAAACTTTCATTTAATGTACTCACGAATTCATTGAACCTTTGTCTTTCTTCTAAAGCAACCACAAAATTAAATTGTTTTAAAACCGAAGGTTTTCATCGAATGAAAAAAAATATAAAAATATTTTTTTCTGCTTATCACCTTACGCCGTACAATGATGTACTGTAAACATTTTAAAAGATAAAAGTTGCTGTTAGCTTTGACAAAAGATTAATGAACATGTGATAGCGGTATCATTTTTTTGCACTCTGAAAATTATCATCCAGAAATTCAATTACCCATCTACAGTTTAGTGCACATTTTAACCATTTACGCACATAATACAATCGAAAGAACATGATTAAAGGATAATTTTGACATTCCCTCCTGTGATCTCATTACACCTTTGTCTAATGCGTATTTTGCGCAACGAGAATGCCAAAATGTGTATTAGCACCACTTTATTTCAATTCATGTTTAATGAGGTAAAGGAATTGAATATCACAAATGATGCGAGACTTGAGGGTAAAGTAGAGTGGATATTTGCATCACAATACGATTGAATTTATGACCCATCATAATGCTTGATTGCCTGCCACTTTACATAAATAATCTGATTATTCCTGACTGTTTGCTTTGAGTTCGTTTACCTTTATGACGTCGACTTTAAATGACAAAGACTCCACAAAAAAACAAAATATTTTTGGCTTCGCTAAGTTTTCATAGTATATTAAACTTTTTAGGGCAATGTGTAGGTGGATACAACACGATTTATGTATGATATTTTCTTTGCTCGTGATTTTATTAAATTAAGTTATTTTTTTCTTGTTTTTTTATGAAAAAGTTTTATCCAAAAAAATGTTTATATTAAGTTTATGTTCCTTAAAACTTTTTCGCCTCAAACTGATTGATAATTTGTTGTTTGAAGTTATGAATAATTTAGCGTCACAACAAAATTTTACTTTTCATAGGAGCAAAAATATATTTTGCGATTTTTCTGCGTCACACTACGATTCTCCAACGAAAAAGTAACACAAACAACAAATACAAAAAGAAACTTCTCATCAATTTTCCGGATTTTTCTTAAATTCAATAAACTCAGGAGTCTCTTCGAAGTAGATGGAAATTTTTGAGCCTTTTTTCTTTTCGAGCCGACGCCACTCGCGAATGAAAAATTGAACAGTTATTCTTATGAAAAATCTTTTACAATATATCATGGAGAGACTTTTTCCTTTTTTTTGTAATCCGCGAAAGAGTATCGTGGGTGGTCGATCATGTTTTTTGACTCTACAATAAGATCTTTTAAAATCTATGATGATTCGCTTAGTTATTTTAGGTCATGAAAAGTTATTGTCGCTTTTAACGAATTGATTAAAAACAATTTTAAGATAAAATTTCGATGATTTAATAATGTGTTAAAAAACAAATAACTTTTTCAAAAAGAATTGATGATATGGATGCATGTTCATTATTTTGAACCTTCAAATCATTTCAATGCTTATTATTTTAGAAAAGAAGTGAAAAGTTCTTCTTTTGAAAGTTTATTTAATGTTATCTGTTATTAAGTGAATGCGAAATCGTTCATCTTCACAAAATATGTTGATTTATTTATCTTCAAAAATGAAAATGATTTTTCCTCAAGCTAAACAATCGTGTAGCAAAGTCAGGAAACATGAAAGTTTTGACATGGAATTTGACGATAATATTTGTTTTTCAACGCCTTCAATCTCAAAATCGGATTTCCTCTTTTTGTATTTTCGTGAACATTGCGTCAATGATTTCGATAGGCACCTTGTTTTGTTTTCCATTCAGTTTTGAGCGAACAAGAGAAGAAAAGGAGAGATTTCCCGACGATATTAATATCCACTATATCCGCTTCGTTTTTTTATTATTAATATCGAATGTTGGAAAAGCGAAGCTGCGAAATGAAATCATGTGAAAAACAACAAACTTCTTCAATATTTTCATTGGCACTTTGAATTTTAGACAAGCTGACGCTTTTCAATATTCTTTTTCTTCTTCCTCCTCAGTTTTTTCTGTTCGAACTTCGAAGTCTTGTTTATTAAAAACGATTTTAAAAATATTTTGTTTCTCAATTTAAAAAAATTATATTGAATTTGTTTTTACTCTCAAATTTCATTAAGTGATACTTTCGCCTCTTCCGCATTGTTAGCAATATTCAGAATGAAATTAACAAGGAAAAAAAAGATTGAAATTCGTTAATAAAAATAGATTTTATACAATAGGATTTTTTGTATTAGAAATCGACTGTAAAGGAAAATTCAAGGAAAACAAGAAAATATAATCAATGTTTCACACGAGAAACAATACCAAGAAACCTTGCAAGAAACATTCGATGTGATATCATAAACAAACATTTTCGACATGTGCGACGAAGAGGAAAGTTTACGATCTTTTCACAACTGTTTAGTAAAATTGTTTCATTGAATACAGAGCAGAAAACATTTTAAACATGAATCTCTTAGCGGAATTTTTATTCTCGATGTTTTCTTCAATCTTTTTTCTTTTTGTTATTGAAAAGTGCTGTTGAAAAGTGCCATCATTTCAGCATACTTCCACGTTTTAGTAATTTCAGAAATAGTCCGAAAATAATAAATTTGTAAGCTCGTAAAAATATCGCGCCCATCATGAGACAACACAAAAGAAGAAAAACAAAAAGTACTTACGGAAAATAATGATGCGACGAAAAGTTGGTAACGAACGAAAGCTGACAACACTTTTAATTGCTTCAAATGCGATTTTTGAACATTAATATTCAGTTCTTGAATCAACCATTGAGTAGCTAAATTGACTTAGATTTACTTAATGAGCTTTAAACTTGAACTTGCAAGATGATTTGCGAGTGACTGAGTGGCTTACTTAATGTCAGATGCTTGTGTCGTATCTCCCTAGGTAGAAATTTATGGTGCACAAGAAATGGCCGCCTTCATCATTTTCCACGTCGTTCCAAAGGCAATAATAATTTAATTTTATAGTAATTTTCTGCGTCTTGCTTTCTCCTTGTTGGCCACATTCTCTATAGATGGGAAAATCATGAAGCTTGCTTGCTCTCTTCCGACACAAAACGCCAATTTGTTTATCGCTATGGAAATGTTAAAGATGTTTGCAATTCTAATTCGCGATGATGACTCAGATTATGCCGTAAATGGCTTCGTAATAATAAAAATGAGATTTCCAAGCCGTTGATTTATTGTGCCCCATAATTCTCTCAAGACAAGAATTTAATTGCAAAATGGGAAAAAAATGATTTCGTTCGCAGTTCATCTTTGAAACGATCCAAGATATTTGAGCTGGCCCCTTAATGCGCCCCGAAAGAAAATCTCCAATGTCAATGGAAAAGAAGAGAAAAGTTCATCGTAAATTTTTGTTGAATTATAGCAAAATAATGAAATAATAATTCTCAAGAATTATGAAGCTCGCTCTAGCCATGTGCAAAATATTACAACACAAATCTACTGAAATGCTGACTAGAAACTTTCTCTTTGCTTCGTTTTCTGAATGTTTATGAAAATTTATTCTCGCCCTTTTTTGCCTCCCCCGGAACACGAAAGCAAATCGTCCTTTTTGACAATTGGATGAATGAGAATTGGCTTGTGTCATAAAATATTTGTGATATTTATAGAATAGTTCACACTTCATGACATATGATGAATTTCCCACTGTGATTAAACGCATAAGTAAACGAGAGATTTTTCATCTGAAAATGAAGAGTTTTCAAGTTTTTTTAATACAATGAAAGATGGAAAACTTTATCCGAGAGTTTTTCAAAATTTTCCAACTAGGAAAACTTTTAAAGTTAGAAAAGAACTAAAATAAGTAAATTGAATTGAATTCTGTTCTAACTACTGTTAGATTTCATTCATTGAAACGCGCAACGGTTTCACTGTCAGATTTATCCTCAGGGATTAACCTTTTAAGCTTTGAATTGTTAGATAACTAAACGAAATGAATGTCCAAATATTAAAGCAAAATTAGAAAGAAAAACTTCAACAGAAGCGCAACAAATTCAGGAACTTTTCTATTCCAGACGTTCAATAAATTTTTCTTTAATTTTTCTTGTAAAAGCTGTTTTGTGACGTCCAAATTTGAAAATTCCAATAAAGTGAACTTTAAAAGGAAATCATTTGGAAATGAAATAAATGCAGTGAACATAAAATATTTGCATTGAAGGATCAAAGTGGAAGAGAAATTTCATTCGGTTAACGAGTTAAATTAAGTTTTCCGTGTAATTGTAGATATGAATTTTAATTTGAAATATTATCTCCTTTCATCGCCTTAAATAAAAGCATTAAAATGATGATAATAATATTCTGCAATCATTAAAATTCAACTGAGATAATTTAAAAGTCAAAATGCAATATTTAAATTCAAGCATAAATTGAGATTGAAGTTATTAGGATTGATGGTGGTTTTAAGCAAAGTATCGTGAATTTTTGAAAATAAAATAAATTAAAAAATAAATAGATTATGGTTAACATCAAAATTCACTTAAAGACAATTTAAAGTGACCTAAATTCAGAAACTTTGTCTTCTCTTTGAATACGCTGCAGCAATAAATCAAAACTAACATCGTAATAATTACATTTTGAATATTTCACACTATTTCCCACAAAAATGCATTCACTAATTGCAAACCACTTGAACTGTTCGCAACATTCTCAGTTTTCACAGTTCAGGAATTTTCTCCCGATTTCATTTTTTCTAGTTTGCTGAAAAATTCCAGTTTTTACATTTTTTTCCAAATTTGTGTTTGAGAATATTTAAAACTTTTAATGATTCTTTTTATAAAACATCAATTAAAAGAAAGTTAAAACAGTTTAAATATCTATGTGGATAAAATGATGAGTTAAAATAAGAATTTTATAATCTCGAAATCGTCGGCTATTTTTGGAGTGTTGATGTAATAAGCGATTAAGTCTAGTAAAGACATAACAACAGACTTGAGAAGGTCGTTATCAATAATTTTCAAAGACTCTTCAAAGTGTGATATCGCAATCCAATTGATAAGTTGTGACACATCAGTGTATTGTGTGCGTTCACCAATTTTGCAAGTTTTCGAAACAATTCCTCTAAGCTCATACATGTCCTGACCCATACAAATTAACCCTGAACCTTCCTCACCCACACATGTGTCGAGAATCGGGAGTGGGAGCATCGGATCCGCCGAACAAAATGTTGCAAATGGAAATAGTTTTTGACCACAAGTTGTTCTCGTTTTTGTTTGTGCATCAAATCGCATTAAATCATCTGTCAATTGGCCCTTTAAAAAATTAAAAAACTTCAAATAAATAAAAAAATTGTTAACCAACTTAAGAACTCACAGAAGATGAATTTCGCCAGCCAAGCACGTAACAATTAAGATTATCGGAAATGACTTCACTCGACGTTAAAATGGGAAGAACGTGTGCACTAAATTCAACCGAATCAACTTCGAGAAGTGCCAGATTGTTTAAATAAGTTTTCTTGTTAAATCGCCCATGAACCTTGACAGCCGACACTGGTGAATCAAATGTCAGCAAATCAATTCTTTCAAATCTGTTCAAGTTTCCTATTGCCACACTTAGTTCATCGGCTTGGTAAAACTCTCCCGAATCGTCTTTTAAAAGACATGACGCGGCTGTCAAAACTGTAAAGTTTGAGATTAAAACTCCTGAACACCTGTGGCCATTTCCATAACGCACCTGAAAGTGAAATATTTTTCATGTTTTTTAAACCTCGCTTTGTGAAGACACGAAAGAAATAACAGAAAAATTTCTCAAAAATAAAAAGAAACTTCCCGAAATTCGTATAAAAAAGCTTTGTCGCCTTGACAACTTACTCACTTTATCATCCGCCAAAACTCTGATGGAAACCTAAAAGTTTCCTCCGTCCAAAAAAAAAGAAGTGGAAATATTTACATTTTCAGCAGGAGGAAAAAAACGTAATCAAATCACAAACCTGATGTTCGGAGTTCATAATCTTCGCTACAGACTCTGAAAGCACTATAATGAAGCCATTTAAGAGGAATTAAAACTTTTTCCATATTGCACAGTGAAGCTCTTCAAAAGCTGTTTTTCTACTTGCCATGGCTTATTTGCAACAACAGAAAAGTCAGCACAAGTTGAGCAAAAAACTTCTGGTGAAACATTTTTATTATTTTTTTCTTCTCTTTTCTCGTATTTTGTTAATACTTGCAAACTATGTACGTTTGCAGAGGCACAAGAACGGAATGAGCAATGTTTACAGTTTAATAGGTAAAATAATGGCATGACGAGTGGTCTCGTTGATAAGACTGTAATTGTATCAGGAACACACCATAGCAGTGCACGATAAGATGATATGAATCACCAATTCAAGTGATAACAGAAAAATGGGAATAATTCGTGATTAATGTGGTGACAGGTGGTAGAAGATGAACGATTAATTATAAAACTATTTTTAACATCATTCAAAGATTTACCAATTTTTATTGCTTGTGACGATTTTCAGAGAATTCCGGTTCAAGTGAAAAACCCAAACTTGAATCATAATCAAACTTTTCATTACTTTAAAGTTCAAAGCAATTTAATTTCACGATTGTTTTATTGAGCTTCGTCATATTCGGAAGAGGTACAAAATCTCAATGAACTATAAAAGATTTACTATTAATACATTTTAATTGTTTCAAGATGCTGAAGCTGTTGAAAAACATGAAAAATGAAAAAAAAGAAAATCTCGCAAGCATCTGAAAATCAATCTATTTTCAGCCTCAGATTTTGATGAGCTCGAAGTGAAACTGATCTTTCTTTTTTTTTCTTGAAGTTTGATTCCATTGTTTTGAAACTCCTACGCATATTTCATACCATTGTGGGACGATTTTTTGATAGATTAAATTGGACTAGAAATAAAAGCTTATTAAAATGTTTCTTTGATTCTCAGTTTGAGAAATTAATTAAGCAGCAGTAAATTTCATGATGTGGTCATCTTTCTTTTCGATACGCAGCCAAGCATAAGTATAAGTTCAGATTATTAGAGTCACATCTGTTCTCAAATGTTATTCATAATGTCAGATTATAAAGCGATACATTAGGTTGAATTTTCATTTAGCTCAAGATCTGCTGGAATTAATTACTTATTAATGTTCAGTGCAACCCCACGCTTAAGTCACACAAGCGTTAAGACTCTCTCCACACTTTATGTGTTTGCGGCGTCCTAGTTTTAAAGAAAAATCAACTACATGGATGATAAAATTGACTTAAAATTCACTAGAACTGTGAACAGTGAACAAGAAACGAAGAAATTGATTTTTTTCCATGATAGTTTCAAACAACATCCCACAATACAGAAGAAGACGCAACAAAGCGTGTAAAATCTCAAGATTTCGTACAACATTTTAAAATAATTTTTTTATTTCATTTTCAATTTGAAAATGATTATAATGTAAGGGGAGAAAAGGAAAAGAAAAATGAGAAGAGAAAAAAAATAAGAATCAGTTAATACAGAAAGAAGTTGAAATGGAAAATGTGTAGCTTGTGTGTCTATTAGCGTCGCTGGTCGAGTGAGAGCAAAGTAGAAAGCAGCTAGAAAAGCGAAAAATGGGATTTTCCATACACAGATCATTTAGTGAAGCTTGAGCATTTTCTTCGATTGTAAAATCATCAGTTAGCGCTCAGTTTCCCAGTAATCTCGCTTGCCTTCGAGTCACTTTCCGCTAGAAAGCAAGATTCGTTGTGTAGTTTTTTAATTAAATTTATTTTGTGATTTTAGTTCTTTTTTTGCTTTCCGTGAACCTCTCCAAACAGTAAATTTAATTATAAAAAATGGTTAGTGAAAATAAAAGTTTAATGAAATTTTTGGCCATTTTCATCTCTTCCTTGGCCTGACTAATTAAACGAGAAAAATCTGTGTGCTTTTTTTTTTGGCAAAACGATGGAAACGGAGATTAATGAACAGAATTTTAATCTTGGAAAAGTAGATGAGATAATTATTTGATCATTGGCAATGATTTAATTGGATGGAAGTAGAAATAATTCTCTCCTTGCCAAAGATTAATGTTCAACTACCAAGTAAATATCTCAGAACGGTTAAGTGAACGGAATATTGCAAATGATTGAAGTTTTCGGAATATTTAAATTTCTCTATTATAAATAAACTAAGCAAAGTTTGAAGTATTTATCTTTTCATCATCAAGCTATTTATTATCTAAATAAGTAACAGTTTATTTGAAGAAAAATAATTTATTAGAAATCATTGCGGATGAATAAATTGAAATGTGACGAAAGCAAAATGCTTTCAATTTAGTTTACACATGAAATTTTCATCACGAAACATTTAACAAATGTAATGAAAGTTTCAATCAGCAACATAAAGTGTCAGCCCGTTCAGCACCCTACTGAGTTGTTTACTCGTAATCACCTAGAAAATGAAATCTCGAACCCGCATCACCGTTCTAATTGCTGAACGTTTTTCTCCCTTCGTCAAAATAATAAAAACGAAAAATAAACATCTACCGTCTAAATCCATCAATTGGCGCCTTCTTACATTCCCAAACAAAAGATGAATTAGCAAAACATAATGAACAGATTTTTAAGTGAATGATGAATTTGTTTTAACATTTTTAAGAAACTTAAAAAACGTAAATTTTCAAAGATTATTCAAATCACTTTACGTTTTACTTCTTTTTTCATTTGTAATTGATCGTTTAGGATGAACTCCCACCAGAGCAAATTGCCAGTAAGTATTTTTAAATTATTTTTCGCTACTTCAAGTTCCTAAATCATGTCTAGAAAATTGCCATCAATTCTCAAAGTAATGAAGAAAATTTAACAATTTCGAATTGTTTTGAAAATCTTTATTTAGATGAATAAATTTTGTAACTTTATGATTTTTTTCTGACTCTCTTGTGAACTTCAACTTGAAAATTTTAGTTCTTTAGCTGTGTTTTGATAAGTTTATTTTTTTTATCAATCTTTAATTTAAAGTTTCTTAAGATAATACGTAGAAGTAAGTGGCAATGAAAGTTTTAACTTCGTCTGATGTAACGATGAAATATGTCTTATAATGGAACTGTTTCATAGAATGACAAATGAAGTGATATGTGAAGTAAATTAGGTCAATTTGAGATTTTCAAGAACTGCTTTTCCCGTTAAATAAAAAACTTTTCCCATCAAATTGAAGGGAAACTTTCTCGATAGGAAATGAGATGGAAAAGAAGAAGTTTTTCCAATAATTCTTTCGCTCAAAATAAAAAAATTTAACGTCAATTGAATGAGAAAATGAAAGACGAATAAGCTTGATAATCATTTGACGATCCATATGCTTTGATCCGATTTTAATTGGTTTTCATGCATCCAAAATTTATCGAATTAATCAAGGGAAAAAAACTTTTTCACAAAAAATTTCTGTCAAACCATTTATCAGTCTACATGAACCATCAATAACTTCCGCTAGTTTTTATTTTTTCCTCTCGCATCGAAAATAAAAAAATGCTAAAAGACCAGAGAAAATCCACAATGATTGAAGCATCAATAAAACTAAAAATAAGAAGAAAAAAACTTTCATAAACATTTGAGAAGATAGCATCGAAAGCATAAGAATGAAAGAGTCGAAGAAAACGAAAAACGTGTCAACTTATAATTTGCTCCATTTATTTGTTGTTTTTTTTTTATCTTTTTTGAAAGAAAAACTTGTCGTCGACATTGTCGGTGTTGTGTCTAAAGTCATGAAATAAATAGTGGAATAGAAGAAAGGAGGAAAAACACATCAAAAGAATTCTCAAATGAAGCATAAACAGATTTCACTTATGGGGGGGCTACAGCAAGTAGAAATAAAAATAATGTCGTCAAGTTAAAGTTCATTGTTTCATTTACGATCGTCCTTTACTGGTGCCATTGCGTAATCCTCTTTTCTGTCATATCTTAACTTTTTTTTGTCTTTATTTCCGTTCCCCTCTTGCCTTTTTACTTGCCTTAATTAACGTCCATTAATCTTTGATGACCTCCCATCGCATCAATCATATTCGTCATGTAGTTATGTGGATATTTTCACGCACTTTTCCACTCACACCCGTCAAAGTTTTCATCTTTTACAGAAGAAAAGGAAGGAAGAAGCATAAAGTTTATTTCTTGACGACAATTTTTTTTCTTGTCGTAAAGCCTACCAGCATTTGTATCGACTTTTGAATAGCAGGAGAAGGAAGGAAAGAAAGAAATTCATTGGAGCAATGCCAAGTAACAATTTTGGATCGACAACTTAGAGGTTTGCAATATGTATTGAAGACACGACATGACATTTACATGAAGTGAAGTATTTACGGATTCTTGATGGAAAATTAAATACGGAAACCTTCAGCTCTTTGTTTTTTTCAATTTTCAATGCATAAATTCTTACTCGCGTGTTATAACAAATATCGTATTAATTAACGTCAACTCATGAACGAGTAAAAGTTGTCTGAGGTGAACAAAAAAAATTGCAGAAGCGATAAAGTAATTAAGAATCGTTTCATGCATGAAAACATTGAAAATATAGCGAGAAAATATTCTTCGATACGATACATGTTGGATGGTTTGAAAGCAAACTCATAATTACTCAATAATCTATAGCTTCAGTTTATTCAACTTCTCCCTACTGCATCATCAAGGAATTAAAATCCAATGAAGCGATGAAACATATTGACGATAATTATCGTTTCGGGAGATTGCAATAATCTTCTGCTGCTCATGAAAGAGTAAGATGTTTTTCTGTGGAAGTCTACGATGACAAACGAGTTATTTTGTTCAGTTTTAATGAAAGCAAAATCAGTGGTCCAAGAGCGTCATGAAAATTGTAAAAATCATTCGTCGGGAAATGTATTTTTAATTAACAGCTTCTCCTCCCGCATGTCAAATGAGACAAGATTTTTATTTTTATTTTGTTTTTACTTTGATGATATTTTCATGCTATTTTCATCTGTTTCATTTTTTGACATGAACGCAATAAAACATGACTCGGTCAATTGATTTTCTTTTAATTCTCTTTTGAGGAAATCCTAAGTTCAATGGTCGGTTTTAAGTTATCTTCGTATTTAAGACATGACATGAGATGAAAAGAAGATAAGAAGATTTAAGAGAAGCAATCAAGACAGGTTTCATATTTATTTAAGAGAATACGTTTTTAAATATGCCTTCGGCATCAATTACATTGAAATTTTCTGACATGCTTTGGAAATGTTTGTGTTCAGTGCAGATTTTAAGCTTTTAATTTGAATTAAAACGTTTCTCTGTTCATTTATAGTCTTGAGAAAAGCGTTCGAATCTTTCGATCATAACAAGAGCGGCTCAATCTCAACTGAAACTGTCGCTGAAATCCTCCGATTGATGGGACAACCATTCAACAGACAAATCCTTGAGGAGATGATTGAAGAAGTTGACGAAGACAAATCCGGACGTTTAGAGTTCGAAGAATTTATCATTCTCGCTGCAAAGTTCATTGTTGAAGAGGATGAGGAAGCACGTAAGTGATTGATTGAAATTTAACACGCGATGAGACTGACATTGGCTTTTAAAATTATTTCCAGTCCAAAAGGAACTTAAGGAAGCTTTCAGATTGTACGATAAGGAAGGAAACGGTTACATCCCAACTTCGTGCCTCAAAGAAATCTTGAAGGAATTGGACGATCAATTATCAGACGCCGACTTGGATGGCATGATTAGTGAAATTGATAGTGATGGTTCAGGAACTGTTGACTTTGATGGTAAGTCATTTAAAACCTGAATAAGCCTGAAATTACAAAAGAAAAGACGAGTCAAAAGGGTCGGTTGGTAACGGTAGAACATGGTGAAATGGCGCTCCATTGACATTTAAGATGATTGATAACGGTTGAGGCATGATAGAGTTGCTTTGTGAAAGTAACTTTAATTGTATTTAAACTATCTGCCGATGAAATATCTTTTCACATGATTTTAAACCAATATGCCTAAAGCTATTAATAGAACCGAAATGAATTATTTATAACAATCTAATGAGGCAACAACTGCTTTTTGTTTATTTTTCGGGAATGTCTTACTTAAGATTGTTCACAGCTATTTAAATCGAGCTTCGAGCTACAATATATTTAACATGTGAGATTTTTTTCTTTTATAAATTATTTACAACTTTCTCGTGATTTTTTCTGATTATTTATAATGAAGAAATTTGTGTTATAAGAAGCAACCTGTTGCCATAAATCTACGGATCTTGTTTCTATTTTAATTTCTTCTCTCTCTGATTTCATCACATGCAGATGATTTTGATTTAATAATTCGAATGTTTCAACATGTTTTGGTTGCTTCACAGTAAAGTGCATAGAAATAAAAACGTAATAAAATTCATTTGATTTATTTTCATCATTGTTTTCCATGACACCTTGTGAGTTTACAAGTTTACATTCATATTTCAAAACCATCATCATACTTATGAGAAAAAAGCACTTTAATATGTTTAAAAAAATTGTTTTTCATGTCGACTCAGTCACTTTGAAGTCAGAGTTTTCTACGAAAACGGATGAAATGAAAAAGTTTGAAATTTTAACTTCGCGCTTTTTCTATGATTTTCATTTTCATTTTATTTAATGAAAAATTACAAACGGTGCGGCTTTTTACAAAAATAAATATTGCGTCACGTAATTTGGCTCTTGTTCGCTATTGTTTAATTAAATTTGCTTAAAAACGTGGAAGAAAGCAAGAAAGAATAAAACAAGAAACGTGCGTGGGGGTGAAAATTTCTATCAATGAGTTTTCCGATTCTTTGTTGCTTTTGTTGCTCTTTTTACCTTCTTTCATCTGAGATGTCTTAAGGGAATTTCACGTAAACTTCTGTAAGATCAACACCTTAATGGCTCGTAATTTCTTAAGTAATTATTGCTATCATCATTTTTCATTTTTTTCTTCTTTTTCTTTCTTTTCTCTCTTTTCAACATTATTATTCTTTGTCGTAAACCAGAATTCATGGAAATGATGACGGTAAGTAATACTTGAATTGTTACGAATGTTATCATTTTATTAACAAATGACATTTTTTTATAAATATTTTGTTTTCTATTCTTGTAGGGAGAATAAACAATTGCTGTCATTCTACATGTCATACACACAACATTGCTGACTAGATGAGATCATAAACATCCATTCTATCCAGGATTCTATCCTAATCATGAAATAATTATTAAAAAAAGAAACTTTAAAAAACTACAATAAACTTACATACTAAATGAAACTTTTATTTTTTTACACATACCCACACACCATCATTACACAACATTACAATGGACACAACACTGAGCACACAAAAATCACTTTCAAACATTTTACAACACACATGACAAAAATATTTGAAAGTAGCGGATCTGAAAGAATGTTAAAGAAAATCAGAATCTGATTAGAAATTCAAACTTTTAAATTTCAGGAACACATTTTTGGACATCATTTATTTCAGAGATTCGTTGCTTCACACACATTAAACATGCAAAATAAACACAGTTTTAAAACAAATCAAAATTTCACTCTTTCAATCTATTCCAAATTCCTATTTATTCAAGATTTATAATATCTGCCGTAAAATCGTCCTTTTGATTAAAACAAAACACCTCAAAAAAATTTCTACACTTTGCATTTTTAAATTAAATTTAAATAAATTCTGTAAATCACTCATGTTAATAAAATGCATTTTTTCACTTTAATTGTTGAGTTTATTTACTTATTAATGTGTTCTTTTATTTGATTGTAATTGAACTTTCAAGGTTAATTGAAGCTTTCATGAAAGCTTTTCTCTATGAAGATCATGACAAAGCTTAATTGTTTAAAAAAGCTTCAGAATTTAATTTTAAAATAGCAACCATTAATAATTGTTCAGTGCTGAATTAAATATAAAACAAGGCAAGCGGAAAAAATTATTTTATATTTTAAAATGGTGCACAAAAGGAATTTTCCACCCAAGTTGGAATTCTTTCATGATAAGAACGTAACTGGTTTACTTCACGTATGTTTCTATAAATTCTCAAAACTATCAGAAATTAAAAAAGCTTTCATTTAATGTAGGAACATTGTGGAGATGTGATGACTCTTCCGTTTCAAGATCGATGTAAATTCATTAGCAACATAGCTGAATGTCATGAATCAAGTCAATATTTCAACTATCTAAACTTCATATTTTGTGACGTTGGATCTAGAAGCAAGAACAGTTATCTCCTTGGTGTTTTTCTCATTTGCGTGTTGAGCTTGTACTTGTTCGCTTTCCTTGCAACTACCGCTGATAAATTGTATTGTTTACAAAAGGTTTCATCAAGAATCATTAATCATTATTCATGTCGTTGTTCTCAGTTTTTGTCCGGCACTCGCTGTCATCTCAAAGATTCTCAAGATGAGTGAAAATGTTGCTGGTGTCACGCTTTTAGCATTTGGAAACGGCTCACCCGACGTCTTTTCATCATTAGCGCATTACAAAGGTGACACGGAATTGATGTACACAGAGTTGATTGGCGCAGCTGCTTTTGTTACGGGCTTTATCGCTGGTCTTGTGATGATCATCAAACCTTTTAAAATTGTAGCTGAGAATTACATTCAAGATGTGCTTTTCTTTCTTGTGGCTGCTTTCTTAATGGACTTTTGCATCCACAATCAGATGTATTCGTTGTACGAAGGCATTGCCACTGTGATGGTTTATGTAGCGTATCTAACTTGCGTTATTTTAAAGCATGTTCTGATGAAGCGAAAGATCCATAAGATTAAGCAGCTTTCTTCGACTGACTTAAGAGACTTAACAAAATTGGAAAACCTCGAAGACATTGCTGAGATTAAAATTTATAGTCGCAAGGATTCATCTGTAATCTTCGACAATGAGATTATTAGCGTCTTCAGAAAAGAGTTTCATGACAGTGCAAATAAGAATTTGCTCAAAACTTTTATTCAAGGTTTGAATCCAATTGACATTGACGATTGGCAAAACTCTCACTTTCTTGGAAAAGTTTTGATAATTTTAAAGGTAGCAACAGCAACATAAATTTCTTTTCCACATTATCAACTTTAAAACCATCTTCAGATTCCAGTAACATTCTTCCTTTTGCTGTTCATTCCCATTGTCGACTACGGTGAAACAAACTTACATGGATGGTCAAAACTTCTCGACATGCTACACATTATCACACTTCCGCAATTAGTTTTGTTCGTTACCGGCAGCATTGAAACATCTTTTTATCTTTTCTTCGTAAATGTTCCGTTAGCAGCTTTTGTGTTTGCCGTTTCTATAATAATCTCATGTGTTGTTTATTTCACATCGAGAAATGATTGTCCACCAAAATATCATGCGATTTTTGCCACCGGAAGTTTTGTCGGTTGTATCTGTGTCATCTACACTGTGGCCAAAGAGGTTGTCAGTGTAATGAAGGCTGTGGGAATAATTTCCGATATGACAGATTCAATGATTGGCTTGTCAATTCTCGCTTGGGGAAACAGCATTGGTGACTTATTTTCCAATATAGCATTGGCGAGGCAAGGCTATCAGCAGATGGCATTTTCAGCTTGTTTCGGCGGACCATTATTCAGTAAAAGAAAAAAGGTTTTTCCGAGAAATATAAGCAATGATTTAAACATGAATTTCATTCACAGATTCATTGCTTGGGGTTGGCTTAACAATCATCATGAAAGCCTTGGACTCCAAGGATTTATTCGCTTTCGTAAGCTTGAGATGCGTCTTGTTTCAACTTACAAACCACCAATAAAACATTTTTTTATCATTATAGGCCAGAGAAGGAGCCATGGGACCAAATTGTATCATATTTTTGAATCTTATCCTTTCATTTACCTTCTTCGCATTACTTTTCTCCAACTTTTGTGCAAGAAAATCGATTGGAATTTATATGATTTCGATTTACTGCATCTTTATGCTTTATTCGGTACTTGGAGAGTTTGAAATCATGCATCCTTATGGAACTGATCATGAAAAAACTTAAATAGCTTTAAGATGAGTTGGATTGATTTACAAATATTTAATTTCCTGTTAGAAACAAAAATAAATGAGGAAACAATTTTGAATTAAATGTTTGATTTGAGTTTAGTTTTGATCTCTTTTAACGTCATTGAAATTCCGTCTGACTTTTAAAATCTTTAAAATAATTCATCAATATCTAACAAGTTTTAAACAAGTTACGCATGTTGTATAAGTCAAATATCTAAACAACATGTACACAGATATCCAACCAAACCAGTTTTCTCTTTCTCTCTCTCTTTCAGGTCTTAAATTGAAAAATAAACAATAAAAAAGTTAATTTCAATTTCGTTAAGAAAATGAATCTAAATTCAATTTCACTTAAAATTTGTTTGGTTTTATCCTTTTTAGTGATTGAAGAAAGTTTTGGCCAATGTGGACAACAAAAGATTTTAGTGAACAGAATTTTTGGTGGAGATTCGACACAACCAGGAGAATATCCATGGCTTGTGGCTTTTTATGAGCGACGTTCTAACACATTTTTTTGTGCTGGAAGTTTGATAAGTCAGAAACATATTTTATCGGGTAAATTTCATTTGGATAAGAATGAAACTTAACACTAACTAATACTTTTATTTATTTTATGATCATAATTATTAAACCCAGCGGCTCATTGCTTTCAAAACAAAAGAGAAATCAACAAACTGCCACCAGAATTTGTTGAAGCTCATCTTGGGAAATTTAATTTAAGTGTTCAAAATGAATCAAATTCCAAGAAATATTTAATTTGGGAATTGATTTTACATCCTGATTGGGATTTTAATCATGAGAAATTTGATGCTGATCTGTCAATCGCCGTGACTAAGCAATCAATACAATTTAGCAATTACATCCGCCCAGTGTGCTTGCCGTCTTTAAGTTATGATGAAATTAATGGAATTGGAAGTGTCGTTGGGTGGGGAAAAAGTTCTGAGTATGAATTACACGCGATAGTTCCTTCAAAATTAAATCTTCCTGCAATTAACGCTTCACATTGTTACACGAAATTCCCTGAGTTGGCTGCGTTCTCATCAAATCGAGCATTTTGTGGCGGCTTCGAAAATGAAGGGAGAAGTCCATGTTTAGGTGACAGTGGCGGTGGATTTTACTTCGATGTGAATGACATTTGGATCATTCGAGGAGTAATTTCAGCATCTTCATTTGATCCGATAACAGGTTGTGATGTTAATAAGTTCTCAATTTATACAAACATTCCTCGATTTGTTGATTGGATAACCACAACTATGAGTGACACGAAAGAAATTAAATGGATTGATTGGATGTTCACATGTAAAAGATTTGACAACACGGATGTGCCAAATTATGTCTTTTGTTATCCTGCTGACGCTTCAAAATCAACAGTTCGTAGTGTCAAAATGAAAATTCAACAGCCATATGATGAAAGCATTCTCACGAACGATTTCCTTGAATTGTGGATGGGAGAATCTTCTTACATTCCTGCTAACATTGGAGTAATCTTCCGAAAGTTAAAAACACTTAGAATTTATGATGAAAATAAAATTAGAACATTTGAGAAAGAAACTTTTAAAGGATTGGAAGGTTTAGAAAGATTGGTAATTCCATCTGTTGATTTCATCGATGACAACCTTCTCCAGGATTTATTTAATTTGAAAGAATTAAAAATCACAACAAGACTTCACGCAGTTCCAATGAACTTTTTATCACGTGTAAGAAATTTACAAATATTGACATTAATTGTGAAAATTGATGGTCCTAATGAACATATTCCAGCTGTTGACTTCTTTTCAAATGTCAGAAGTATTGAAGAATTAAATATTGAAAAACGACATGACGATTCAAAAAAGCTTTCAATGTCTCTCGATGCTCTTAAGCAATTAAATAATTTAAAGAAACTTCGATTCGATATTGTCGATGTTAATTGGTCAGAAAATTCGCTAGAAAATTTTAGGAATTTAAATGAGTTTACATACTTTAATGGAAACATGACAAAGCTTTTCAAAAATTTCTTCAAAAATAATTTAAATTTGGAAGTTATTCGGTTTTCTCGAAATGTTTTTGAAGAAATTGAAGTTGACTTTACAAAACTTCCAAAGCTCAAAAGAATTGATTTAAAATATTGTGGGTGCATATCATCTGAGTATATCAAAGATGAAACAACGATGACGATTCAAGAATTTCAAGATCAAATTGATGGAAGTTGTAAGAAGTAAATTGATAAAGAAAGCCAAAATGTTTATTCTTTATGAGATTAAACTTTCATTATTTCACAAGAACTTCTTAAAACACCAAAAGAAAATCAATTGGAAATAATATGATTTCATTTATTGCATTGCTTCATGCTTTATTCGGTGCTTGGAGAGTTTGAAATCATGCATCCTTATGGAACTGATCATGAGAGAACTTAATAAGCTTTAAGCTCATTGGATTTATAAATATTTAATTTCCTTTTCTTTTCCCTTCATTTCCTTTGCTACGAAATTAAATGAGAAAAATAAAAATAACAATTTTAAATTAAATAGATATTTGAGTTTAGTTTGTAGCTTTCAAGTTTTCAACTCTTCAACGTCATTGGAATTCCCAAATGACTTTCAACATCTTTGAAGTATTTAATCAACTAGTTTCAAATAATGTTAGCATGTATGTATAGCTTCATGGAACAAGTTTTTTTCTTGTTCCTTTTTTATTCTAAACAGGAATCTAAACAATAAAAAAAGATGGTTGAATTGCAAGTTTTTTAAAAAGAATGATGAAATATAAACTAAGTTCACTTAAACTTTGTGTGCTTTTATATTTGTTCTTGATTCAACAAATTTATTCTCAATGTGGACAGCAAAAGATTTTAGTGAGCAGAATCTTTGGTGGAGATTCGACACAACCAGGAGAATATCCATGGCTTGTGGCTTTTTATGAGCGACGTTCTAACACATTTTTTTGTGCTGGAAGTTTGATAAGTCAGAAACATATTTTATCGGGTAAATTTCATTTAGATAAGATTTTTAGATTTTGTTTTATTTTTTTTTTACCGTAACGGAGAATGAAACTTAACACTAACTAATACTTTTATTTATTTTATGATCTTATTTATTATACCCAGCGGCTCATTGCTTTCAAAACAAAAGAGAAATCAACAAACTGCCACCAGAATTTGTTGAAGCTCATCTTGGAAAATTTAATTTAAGTGTTCAAAATGAATCAAATTCCAAGAAATATTTAATTTGGGAATTGATTTTTAACTTCGTATAGCATACATTATAC